CGGAAATGACTTGATTTTATGTGTGTGTGCGGGCGGGTGATTGGGTGGGTGTGTTTTTTTTCCCCATGGTTTAAGGGTTTGCGGCTTATCTTCATGCGTCGACTGGCATTCGTGCATGGCCTGTGTGGTCTGGGCGCTCCCCCCCCCCCGTGCGCGTTTTCCTCAAACTGCAACACTTGCTGGGCTGGCGGGCTTATTCTCGGCCGTATGGGTGGATAAGTCTTACAAATGGCAATACTCCCGTTGCTCGAGTGTTCAGCTTGCTGGGTTGAGAGCAAGGTCGGGTAGAGCCAGGTTGGGTAGAGCCAGGTCGGGTAAACCAAGGGGGGTATCCATTGCACTACTGACAAGCATTGTATCGTACAGCAAACGCTCCATCTCGTCACAAAAGCGAGGTAGCAGTTAAACTCTTCTTCATCCTATCTTAAACACCGCTATCAGAGTAGCGTGACTGTCATGCGCATACTAGCATTAATCTCTTAGCGGCTCGCGACGCTAGCTCTCCTCGCCTCGAGTACAGCATCCTCATGCGTAGGAGGTCCCTCGTAGTTTTTCTTGCCCCAGACAAAGTACCAGATGGTTGAAACAATAACGACGGCAGCAAGGACGACGGAAGCGTAGTTCATAGTGGACGGCGTGACGTTGCGGAAAGTAGGCATGCAGAAGAGGGGAGTTGCGAGCGCGGACCAGGCTGTTGGGTTGATTAGTTATTACCAGACTATGTGCAAGTGTAGCGAAAAAACTTACCAAGGGCAATGACATTGCAAAAAGTACCCAGGACTCCGAGATGGAATTCACCATCCTTGACTTGCTTGCGGCCAGTGAGGAGCGAGACCAAGATGGGTGCAGCATAGCTCAATGTCAAGCAAATAACACCAACACCAGAAAAGGCGTTGAAAGCGGCGGCAGCACCAAAGTAGATGAGACCAAGGGCAATTTGGATAACCATGCTGAGCATCATAGCGTTCAGCGGCACGTCAAGCTTGGTGTTGACAGTTCTCCATAGCTTGTAGCCAGGGATAGCGCCGTCACGGGAAAAGGCCCAGGTAGCACGAGACGCAGCAGTTGTGCATCCAATACCACAGAGCAAGCCCAGGACAAGGAGAGGAACAAGCAGGCCAATAGCGCCGCCAGAAGAGCCTACTGCGTCCTTGATGATGACAGGAACAGGCTGACCCGAAGCCAAAGCCGCAAGGGTGGCCTGGTCGGGCAGGACGAAGACGAGGGGGATGAGGAAGACAAGGCCACAGATGGTGTTCAAGGCGACAGTGGCAACCATGGCCTTGGGGACCTGCGTTGCTGGCTCTCTGACTTCTTCGCACATTCTGTGTCAATTGTTAGCATTGGAGCAACACGGGGCGGGAGGTACTGCATAGGGAAAATGGGCATGTCGCAATGGAACGTGGGCTGCCTGGGAGAGTCGCATGGGACATGTTGCTTGGGACGCGTCGCTTGGCTATGTGCATTGGGCAAGGAAATCTGCTAAAGTTGCTTGGGCAGAAAAAGGGGAGGCTCACGAGATGATCATTCCGGTCGATGAAGTTGCGTAGGCTGCGTGCAGGAGTCCGACCATGAAAGACCATCCAGGGACCCATCCGGAGTTGGAGGGATCGAATTCAGTAAAGACGTATTCGGCGCTTCGGCGACCATTCTTTGCAAGGGCAAGGACGCATACGATAATGGCAATCACACCAGCAAAGGTCCAGAAAATGGCAAACGTCTGTCCACGGGTGAGCAATGCATAGCAGCAAGCGAGCTTCAGGGCAATCTTACATCGAGCCAGGGCAGGATCTTGTTGCCAAAGGCAGACACGGCGTTGCAGAGGAGAGTAATGGCAAGGAAGATGAGGAAGACCTGGTAGGCCGAGCCTTCCAAGATGCCGACACCGGGTGCGGATTCGTAGACATTGACACAGGCGACCAGGAAGAGAGCGGTAGCAAAGTTGACCGAGAGAGTAATGGTAATGTTGCCAACTACAAAACACCAGCCACAGATCCACGAGGCGATTTTGCGGTAGGCGGGAGGCGTAATCATAAACGTCTGGTAGTAGACGCCGCCGCTGGTGGGGTACACACTGGTAATCTCGCCCAGCGAGGCGGCCACGGCGAGGATAATGAGCGATATGGCGAGCCAGCCCCAGATGATGGTGGTGGGACCGCCTCCGACTATGGGGTAGTAGAGGGTTGTTGCCAGACCGTAGGGGACCGAGGCCAGCACAAACGACATGAAGGCGACCTGGAGAGTGGATCGTGAGCGCACCAACTCGGCCTTGTAGCCCATGGCGGCCAAGAGGCCGTCTGGATTGCTGGGGTCGGCGACATCGTCTCCCGAGCCCGAGTAGGTGTTGCCCAACTTGGCGTCCTTCTCGACGCCGCCGGTGCGCAGGACGTGGCCATGGTCGGCGGCGTAGGCGTCAGACTGGGTGCCGTAGCGGTAGTCCGACATGAGGGGCGTGTTGCTGTCGTCGGTAGAGCGGGAGCGGGAGCCTGGAGGAGAGACGGGCCTTGGCAATGGTCGTAAAACAAAACTCTGTGGCATGCTCTCGACAGCGGATCAGCGCAGGCTTTGAAGGGCTGCAGAGGCACGTCAGTCGGCGCATGGTCCAGGGCGACTAGCCAGTTTGGCGATAAGGCCTGCCAGGCTACCCACCCATACCTGCCATGGGCAATGCGATGCCGAGCGTGCGATCCAATTGCTAGCACCACAGCCCCCGGATAGGGCTACCTTGCAGCGTTACCTGCGCCCCCCAAATCACCGAGCGCGTGGGAACCAGGCCCTGACACATGCGCGCGCCGCTCTCCGCCGCCGGGGGCCTGCGAGGATTTTTTTTTCTAGAAGTGGGCCAGAAGTTGGCGTGTTGGGAGCCGCCCCGGTGGTGAGCCGTGTCGCCGACGAGGGGGCCCTGGCGATGCAACGCCGCTGCTAAGTACGTACAAGTAGGTGTGCGTCGTGCGATCAGCACCGGGCGCGGCGTGGTTGAGCAGAGGCTTTGCAGCCGTCGGCGGCGGTGGATGAACGTGTGGGGTGAAGATGGTGATGGATGGCATTTGGCAGCCCAGCCCGCTGACGCCGCGTCGGGGCGGGCCAATAGGAGTTGCCGAGCCTGCCCGCCTCGGCTTATGCTCCATATTCATGGCAGCGATCCGGGGCCATGGTCGTGTGCTGCATCCGCGACACTCGCACTCGCACTCGCAGACGACGCTGGGACGGCATGGGGGGGGGGGTGCTGCGGTGGAGCAGGTGGGCGGGCGTGCAAGAGTGGTTCCATGCTGGCCTCGCTGACCACACCGCGCCCTACCGTGTCGGATGCGGTAAGTCGTCATGGCCGTTGACGTGTAGCTGTGGGCAGCGGGCGTCGTGTCTCGCGACCATAGCAGGAGAGCAGCAGCAGATATAAAACAGCACGCGCTGAGAGAGGCAGATGAGAAGGAGAGCGGAGAGCTGAGAGCTGAGAGCTGAGCATCCCGCATCCGATCCAGCTCCCGCCTCGGTCCGGGGCCTGAACCAAGTACACGACGACTACCAGCAACGAATAGCGCTGCCGCCATGCATCACGAAATCGTCGCCCTCGAGAAGCAGCTTCAGCCGCTCCCCATTGACGGCTTTGGCCTGCCCGCGGGCACCACATACACGCTCACCGTCTACGAATCCACGCCCTCGCGCGAGCTGCTCCACGCGCGCATCCGCCATGCCACGATTGTGATTGTGACGACGGTCAGACTCGACGCCGAAACACTGCACCCCACCGTGACGCCCCATCTGCGCTACATAGCCGTCTCCGCCACAGGCACCGACCCCGTCGACCTCGACGCCTGCCGGGCCCGCCGCATTCGCGTAACAAACTGCCCAGGCGCCAATCTGGACGCCGTCTCGGAACATGCCCTGGGCGTCTACTTTGCCGCCAGGAGACGCACCGTCTTGCTCGACCGCGTAACGCGTGCCCAGCCGAGCGAGTGGAGGGACAAGGGCAGTGTCATTCACTGCATGCGTCTTCCCGACGGCACGCCCCCCGTCACGTGCTCCGACGAGGTCATGGGAATCATCGGCTACGGTGGCCTGGGTATGTGTCGCTCTCGTTCAGCCGGTCCGGTTTAGGATGCAAGATCCTCCGCTTATCATGTCGAATAACACCAGGCAAGAGAATAGCAGCATTGGGTCGCGCACTGGGCATGCGCGTGCTCGTGGCTAGTCGCAAGCCGCCAGCCATGCCCGTCTCCAGTGGCTTTGTCCCCACGCCCAGCACGTCCGATGATGGGCGCATTCCTTTTGACGAGGTGCTCCGCCAGTCCACCGTGCTTGTGCTGTCGCTGCCGCGAAATCCTGACACGCTCAACCTCATCTCCACACCAGAGCTGGCCCACATGAACCCATACACTGTCATCATAAACATCGCGCGGGGCGGCATTGTACATGAAGCCGCTGTTGTGCAGGCCCTGCGGGAGAGGCGCATATCGGGCTATGCTACCGACGTCTTCCAAGTGGAGCCTGCTGGTGGGCCCCAAGATAGTCCGTTGCTCGAGGAAGATACAAAGGGCCTCAACATCACCATGAGCCCGCACGTCGCCTGGTTCGCGCAAAGAACGATCAAAAACCTGGGAGATATTCTGAAGGCGACGGTGCAAGGGTGGGTCAGCGGCCAGGAAATCAACGTCATCGTGTAGCTCCATGCAGACCTGGTGGCGAGTCGAAGCTGTCGAGTAACGCCTGTGATAGCCACCTTTCGGGAATGGCGGCTTTTGGAAAAGTTGTGTCTCCGATACGGCGGTCCGGCAGTGTTGCGGAAGCGTTGCTCGATGAGAGTGGGTATAAAGAGGGCCCCTATCTCGGTCTATAGCTCGGAAATATTAAGTACACTGCTTGCATCATTCGACACTGCTAAGTGATAGCCAATGCTCAGATGGCATGGAGATGGAACGCTGGCCACGTTCAAGACGACTGACTCTGTGCGAGAGGTGCATCGACCAACGCAGAGAGTGCCTGGTTGCTGTACAACTCTGTCCACGAGTACATGCTGAGAAACAGGGCCACACTCCAACGTGGCTGATGTCGTGAGGGCCAAGGGCCTCGCCATCGTGGCGCCTTGGTGGTGAGGTCGTTGGGTGAGGAGTAAGCATCACGTGAGCGGTGATGAAACCCAAGGACCCCTGCTTGGCAGTCGCAAGGCAGCGGCGCATCGCCTCGGACCATCAGCAAACATCACGTCGGCGTCTCTACGCGTCAAAACATCCCCAATAGATCGTCCACACCCCCCTCGAGTCGCCAATCCCTCCCCCATCGCGCACTGCCAGATCTCGGTGGGCATCGCGCGCACCCTTGCGCCCGCCCTCTCTCCCCAGCAACTGCAAGCCCAACACCTGCCGTCGGCTCTGGTTCCCCCGGCGGAAAGCCCGTCCCACCGCCGCCCCACCGACATATTCACCTCCTCCAGCCCCCGTCACCACGAGCATGTCGGGCTCAGTCGCCGTTGCACGCCCGTCGCAACCTCCACGCTTGCGCCGGGAGTCTCAGAGGCCTGGAGTCACGCGTACCGCCACCCGCCAGTCCACCATGGAGGATGACGGCGCGAAGCAGGAAGAGGCCAGGAAATATGGTACGCGGCCTGCCCAAGTGCAGCGTAGGCATTGCAGCAACTAACATGTGGCCCAGTCTACACGCAGCAGGACATCCTGGCCAAGCACAAGGGCAAGCCCCCGTCCCTCCGTGTATACCTCCACCCGAAGCACTTCCGCCTCAACGACTCCCAGGAGACGCTGTCGTACGCTTCGCCGATGCGTGAGCTGCTCCAGGCCATCAAGGACAAGCAGGTGCCCCACAACATGGTGGAGGAGCTGTATGAGTTCAACACACCCTGGTACGACAACTGTCTCATTGTCGAGGTGCACGACTATCGCTCGACGGGCGTGAAGCCCAAGGACGATACCAACAGCACTGGCGAAGGGGGCACCAATGCCTTCTCGATCCACAACTACAACAACTTCATCACGCCATCTCCTTATGCGCCTTTTCCAGCCAACAAGCCCGACGCGAAGCCCACGCAAGCCCCGGCCCCGGCCAAGGAGGCAGAAGTCAAAGAGGACAAGGAGAACATGCCCGCCCCTGGCCAGAGCGGCACGCCTAACAAGCAATCAGGCCTGGGCAAGATCCGGACAGTCGTCTTGTTTCCGACGCCGCAGTCGCAATTGGCCGACATGCAGCTGTTGGCCACGACGCCCGTCCCAGACATGGCCGCCCTGAAGAGGCTGCAGGCCCAAGGCCGAGCTGCAGGCATGCCACCCACCCCGATGACTGCAGTACCCTCGACACCCGCCTTCTCGAATGGCCCCAGCCCGAAACGTCAAAAAATGGTCCTCGACGACAGCAATCTGCACGAGTTCGAGGCTGAAGTCTTGAATGCTACCTGTCCCCCGCTATATCTAGAGCCCACAAAGAGCTTTGGACAGTCGCTCGCGCTCATGGATGCTATAACGCACCCGAACAACAAGAACCCTGCGCCTCCACGCAAAACCCGCAAGAGGACGACTGCCGAATTGGCCGCCGACGAAGCTGAAGCCCAGGGTCTACAGCGCTTTATGCTGGCTGGTGATGAGTACCAAGGCATCATGACTGCCGCAGCCACAGGGAATGATGATAATGCAGTGCGTGCAGCTGCCAACTCGCAGACGTTTGCTCGTTTCAAGACCATTGCCAACATCAGGGCGAATCATGAAGAAAACGATCGACGGAAGAAGGAGGAGGACGCTCGTAACGCTCAGACCAAACGACAGGCGCAAATCGAGGCTGAAATTCAGAGGAAGAGAGAACTCGAGGCTAGACAGCAGGCTGAAGTTGCTGAGCGTCAACAAGCAGCCCTGCGGCAACAAGCGCAACATCAGGCTCAGCTCCAGCAAAACCAATTGCAACAGAACCAACTACAGCAGAACGAAGCCTTGCGGGCTGCTGCGGCAGCACAGCACCAAATGTCGACTGCGGCAGCATCGCAAGTCACCCAGACTCCGCAATCGGCAACGCAGTCTCAATTCTCGCCGACGGTACGCCAGCAAACGCCAATGGCCGCCTCGGCAGCCTCACCGCGGGTCGGTGGTCAAGCATCACATCCTATAGGTGGAACCCCTATGGTACCGTCGGCCTCCAACCAGGCTGTTAACAGCCCAGCTCGACCCCCATCTTCTGTCTCTCATCACCAAAACCAAATGGCCCGCTCAGTCAGCCAGCAACAGAATCCAAGCCGCACGAGTACACCGCACATTGTTCAGGGCACGCCGGTTATGAACCCATCCATGCCGAACCGCAACATGACACCGACGCCAAGCCGCATGAATCAAAATAGCCCGTCTATGGCGATTCAAGGCCAGACTCCAATGATGATGCAGACTCCCCAACCTGGCCAAAACATGACACTCGAAGCAATACAGCAGCTTCGCATGCAACAGATGCGGATGCAACACCTGCAGCAGCAGCAAGGTGGATCTCCGGGTAATCAGCAACAACAGATGCAGCAATTGGCATTCCAAAAGGCTGGGCAACACATTCAGCAGACTGGTGTCCCTCCCAACCAAAATCCTCAGGCCTATCGCCAGCAACTGGCACAGCATTATTTCCGCCAGTTGCAGCAGCAGCAGCAACAACAACAACAACAGCAACAGCAACAGCAGCAGAACCAACAACAGCAACAGCAAATGGGCATGCAAAACATGACGTCTCAAGGAGCACTGCCGCAGAACGGTATGCCTCAACAAGGCATGGCTTTTGCTAACATGAGTCTGCAACAAATGCGCTTGCGGTACCAGCAACAGAAAGCGACCGTCATGCAGAACTACAGCAACACCCAAAGCATCCCACCCCAAATCATGCAGCAAATGCAGCAGATGGAGTTGCAGATCAAGCAACGAGAACAGCGCGAGCAACAATCGCAGATGGCCCACATGCAAAACGGCATGGGCAATCAAATGAACGGCGGCCAGATGAGTGGCATGCAGAACGCGACGCCCAACAACCCGATGCAAATGCAACAGTATCAACAAATGCTGCAACAGCAACGGCAAGCAGCCGCCAACCAGAACCGAATTATGCAGATGCGACAGCAGGCCATGGCAAACGGTGGTCAGCTTCCACAGGGCATGATGGGCAACGTGAGCGCTATGAACGGCATGCAAAACACGATGCAGGGCATGAATATGGGCAACATGGGAAATGTCCAAGGCATGGGCATGGGGCAGATGGGGCAGATGAATGGTGGCATGGGCGGCATGCAAAACGGGCAGATGAACGGTGTCATGTCGGGCATGCAGGGTATGCAAGGCATGCAAGGGATGAGCCAAATGAATCAGATGAACCAGCAGCAAATGCAGCAGATGATGATGATGCGTCAAGCGCAGCAACAGGCGGCTCAGCGGATGGGGCAGCCTGGCGGTCAGCAAGGCGGGGACATGGGGTGGAATGGCTGATTGCTCTCATTCTACTTGGGGGTAACGTGGCCACGTCGCTCGGTCTCGTTTTGCCATATTGCTAGCATCCTGGAGAGGCTTCTCCTTATTCTTCTTCTTCTTCTCCTTCTTCTTCTTATTCTTCTTCTTCCTCTATCTCCTTTGGCGTTGTCAGGGAGCGCAGCCCAGGCATAGATGTCGACGGGAGAACAAAGGGTGTTTGGGAGCACATGTTGGGCGAAGAGAGAGAGAGAGAAAAAAAAAGTTGTTTCAAGATACCCCTGGTCTTGGGATGGGTTTCCAACCATGGAAATTATTTTGATTTACTTGATTGCATTGGGCCTGATGCCTTGTAGAGCTGCATATCTTGTCAAAGGACTATTATTATTATTTTTTGCATCCTCCAAGTAGTCATAACCATCCTCCACCAAGGATACTACCGGACCGCACACTATTGAAGATGACGTCATCCTGTGGGTGTGTCTTGGTTCTACTGACGCAATTCATGTCACCGATCCTTCTGTTGGTAGTTGGCGGGATTGCAATTGGCATCAAGTGTTGGTGTCATTTCTTGATGCTACTGTTATCATACAAGGCAATGTTCGACTAGTTTCCAATAATATGCTAAGACATACTTCATAACGCCGGTGCACATGGCCAGCAGCTATGGGATAAAGTCACCCGAAAATGTAAAGTTTTGCGCAGTCACTTCGCTCAAGCGCTGTTCCTTGGACACTTTCAAACACTATTTCTTCGCCGCGGCCTGAGCGAGGTCGGCGAGAGCCTCGCGGCGCTTGAACTTGGCGTCCTGGATCACACCTTAAAACTTGTATTAGCATGGGACGCAAATGGCTCAATGGGAGATTACATACTGGCATCAGCATCGCTGCTAAAGTTGCCTGACCATGTGACAAATGTCTGTCCCTGGTGCTTGCCTGATGTAACGGGGTATGCGCGGATGGTAGAGACGACTGAAGAGTACGAAAGCTCAGGCTTGGAAGTAATAACCGAGTATGTGATGTAGTGGTCGATGGACTAAAAAGAAAAGCAAACTTGGATTAGCGATTCGAAGAGAGAAAAATTCAGTAGAAAAAAAGAAATGAAGAAAGTACTCACAGAGTGCTCCTCCTGCTTCACCTCCTGCTCGGTGCCGTCCTTGAATGTCCACTTGACAATGTCGGTCTCGCTGGATGCGTCCTTGACAAACTCGCTTTTCTCGAGCGTAGTCCAGAACTTGCTGAAGTCCTGGAGCTTGATCAGGTGCCAGACATCGCTGAAGGGGGCCTCGATGACGGCGGACTCGTTGACAGAGGTGGAAGTGGGGATGGTCGAGGACATTGTGACTTGGGGAGTGTCTTCGCAAAATGGATAGTGTAGAAATCGGGGGTTTGGCGAGAGAGGAGAGTCTGGGGAATTTTTTCGAGTGGAGATGGAGAGTGGGTGGTGGTTTCAGCAGTCGCGAGAGCAGTTTGGTGGGGCGCCATGCTTTGCTGCACGGTTATAGCGTCATAGGTACACGGCGCGTGTGTGTGCGCGTGTGGCAGCTACCCCTCCCCCGCGCCGTCCCTGCTTGTGCTTGGACGGCTTGTGCCCCGAACCCTCCAGCCTTATGCATGGCGATATCATCGAATGATCGTGATCGCACTTGATCCGAGTGCCCGCCTCGACCTCCGCACACTTACTCCTGGTGCACGGGCTCGCGTCCGCTCGTCCTCGCTTCATCTCAGGAACACATCATCAGATCCCAACACAAACAAACCTCAAGCTCATGTTTGACAACTCTAAAACACCAATGACGACATCACGAGATATCTACACCTCGTCGTCAAGACGTAACCTAGCCCGTCTCGCTGCGCACCATGCATTCCCCTACTATGCTGTCTCTTTTCTTTCCGCCTCATTCTTCGTTATCCTAATCTCCATCACCCACCAGGTATGGTTTGCAACACGGGCAATAGAAACACCCGACACGACTGATATGCGACGTGCACACCCTCACGGTAGACTGTCAGCCAATCATGTCTTCTTCGCCACAGCCACCGCCACATCGGGCGAATCTAACCTCCGATGCATCGACCACCTGGACGCGCAACGTCCTACTGCCTGCCCATATTCTGGCCAGACAGCGCCCTAGAACCACGGCAAAGAAAGCTTACCGTCGATGATCCTTCTGGTCATTTCTGCACGCTTCTCAGAATCCGAAAGCACGACGTGCAATTGGCTCCTCGACTATGCTGGCGCATTCTGCGACTGACAGGGTGGTGTGGCGAGTAGGGCAAAGAGCATGCACGTACGTACGCTTGCACGTGCAAGTTGGTGCCTGGAGATATTCAATGTCTATAAGATGCTTGAAAAGGTAGGCAGTAGGATTCCGCAACTCACACACAATCATCCATCCATTCACCAAACAATTTTCAATTCATCAATATGCCTTCAGTCGCATACATAAACCAGTCTGCTCCTTTCTGGGACTTTATTGCGAACCTCGAGCAGCAAGCTCCTTTCGGCCAAAATCGCAATGACGATGGTGCTCAAAACGAACATGAACATAGAGAACATCAAGGACCCCAAGATCCCTTTGCTCCATGGAATTGGGGCCACCCATTTTTCGGTGGAGGCAGGGGTATGCCTCATCGTGGAGGCCCCCAGGCACACCACGAAAATCATCAGGAAGAGCCTGTAGGCGAGAAACAAGGCGAGATGAATGACGCAAACGACAATGGGGAGGGCCCATCTGGCACCTCTGGCTCTGACAACGAGACTCGTGCTGAAGAGGATTCTCATACCCGGGCCCGTCACGGTCGCTGTGGTGGAGGGCCTCGCGGTCGCGGTCGCTGCGGCCGTGGTGGTGGTCGGGGTGGCTTTGGATCTCACCACGGTCCTGGACCACATCACGGACCCAGTTCTCACCATGGCGGTCGCCGCGGAGGCTGGGGCCCATGGGCGCACGGCGCTCCTTTTGGAAGAATGGGTGGCGGCCCCTTTGGTTTTGGCGGCGGCAACTCTTTCGATCCCTCCGCCTTTGTAACCCAGCTCTTCAACCAGTTCAACGACCAGCATCCCTCCAACGCGAGGGACAACACCAGGTCCTCTGAGACCGAAGACCACACCCCCGAAGCCGACATTTTCGACACCGAGTCTGCCTATGTAATTCATGTTTCCCTCCCCGGCGCTAGGAAAGAAGACGTCGGTGTGAACTGGGATGCCGAGAAAAGCGAGCTCAGCGTTGCTGGTGTCATTTACCGTCCTGGAGACGAGGAATTTCTAAGGACACTTGCCATGGACGAGAGGAAGGCGGGGCCCTTTGAGAGAAAGATTCGTCTGGGCACGAGGGCAAACCCCGCGAGCATTGACGCTGATGGTATTACTGCCAAGTTGGAGGATGGTGTGTTGAGGGTCCATGTGCCCAAGCTGGATTCGGGATATGTTGAGATCCGCAAGGTCGATATTGAGTAGCGGTTTCAAGCGTGATGGGATGGAGATGGGGTATTGTGGTAATTTTTTTTTCAGATTCGATATGGGGAATCATGTGGTAATTGCAAGCAAAGTATCTGATGTTGGTTCCATTGTACTATATATCATGTTGTGAATGTCTCTGAATGAATACTGGAGCCTGATGGCTTCATCCGAACCATGATTGTCTCAGCTAAAGTAGTCGAAGACGAATTATCGACTCGGACGATATGCAAGACGGGTCCCTAGTGAAAATGCAAAGCGTAACTCGATATAAGATAACCCCAGAGTTAACATCTTCTCCCTTATGACCTCTACGCTTAGCCACTTTACAACTACACTGGATTAGTTACCTGTCGGCCACGGCTTTAAATTTAAGGACTACTGGCAGGTTGATGCGCGATATACGTAAGCTGTCTCGCCTGACTGCCCAGTCCTCGGTGTCTATCTACTGTGTTTAGTCCAAATCTGTATACGAGGTAGCTTGTATCGCTAAAGTAGATATAGTACCTTATGCATAACAATCTTGCAAGATTTTTGTATACGCTTCAGCTTTCTTACGATGGAATAGTAGGACTTTTAGAGGTGTCTCCATCGAGGTGGATAGATGATAGGACTGCGTTATCTACTTATGTAGTAAAGAGAATAATGCTAAATATACTCTACATCTGCTGTATAATCACCTCAGGGCTTTATTGTTCAAGGTAATTAATCTTTTTCAACCTATTATGTATAGGGAGTTGTTTCTATCTCTAGTAACCTGTAGCTGTAACCTGTCAGGCTAGAGGTCACCCTATGCACTAGCACAGTAATTTCATCTTCACTCTAGATCTACTAATAGAAGCAAACAAAAGCTGATATTAAATTGAAGTGAAGTGAGCGATGCATCCCCTTCTTTACATTCACCAACTACGTCATGGCCCCTCAGTCACTGGCTGGTGAACGGGGCACTCCGCTCGCCCACACCAACTAATTTAAATACATACTCCCCTCTTTAAAACCGCAGTGGGATCAACTACAGCCTCAGACTCAACTACAACGATCCACTCAATGCGGCCCTTTGCTACAGTTGAAACCGTCCCAGAAGAAGACGCCATGAAGGACGGCGGTCCCCCTAACAGCAACAACACAACCACTGCGTTTGCATCCATGCCACCCGAGTCCACTATCCGTTCAAACGACAACACCAGCAGCAGCACGACCCCTCCCCCCGTCTCCCACAACGTCCCCGAAAAGCCGCAGTCCGTCTCGCCCAACGCTCCAGCAAACCCCAAAAGCATCTCTACCCACGCGTCTCCCACGCTGCGCACGCCCCAGAACCCGTATCTGTCCGGTCCCTCGCCCGACCTCATCTCCTCCATCTTCCCCAACGAGCTCCCGCGCCGACCCGCGCCGAAACGCGCGCCGTTCAAACGACTCCTTCGCATGCCCGTACGTGTTACGCCGGTGCGCCGCCACGACAAGCACGAGGCGGGCACTGCACAGACGGAATTCCAGATGCTGGATATTGACTTGGGGGAGCAGCGTCAGCGCGATCATCAGGAGCAGGAGCAGGAGCAGCAGTCTTCTGACACGTCTGCGCAGCAAGAGCGAATCCGGCGCATCAAGTTCTGGGCGCTGATTCTCGGTGGAACACTGCTTTGCGTCATGATTGGTATGCTGGTGTACTTGATTGTTAGTATCAGGGAGGTTGTGGCGGAGGACCGTGGGGGACGTTAGGGCTGTCGAGACAGGAAGAAACAGAGTAGTAGAAATGGGACAAAAAACATGGCTGGTTATGTAATTGGATGGTTGGATGGATTAGATGTCTGGGAAATGGGGGGAGGGAAGTTCAACGATGTCGGTTTATGGCTTTTGGGGGGTAAACGGCTGTCTGAGGACTAAGTCGTGTCAGTATGCACCACTGAGTGTAGTCTCCCCTCTCCCCTCCCCCTCTTCCATTTTTTCTTGGCTTCAGTTCGATGATTGCGATTTTAGTACGGGATTTGCAGGGAGAATACAGCAGCATGGAAATGAGAATAGGGAATGAACGAGGTACGAAAAGCGGTTCGGTAGGCCGACCGTAGTCCAGTCAAATGAATTATGCATGATTTCCATGCAAAATTGAAGCACGCATATATGTATGCAATGTACAGATTTTGCACCTGGGCAGCCAAACCTATTTGTTTAACCGATTAAAATTAAATAATAGCATAGCATACACGACTCTATCTCCTCCGCTGAGGCCCAGACAAAATGCAGCCATCCGCACACGCCGGATCCGTACTATTATACGCAATCTCGCCGACACTCGCGCCAGGCTCGACACTAGGGTCCCTGGGAATAGAAAACATGCGGCCGTCCTCGGGCGAGACGAGCGTCTCGAGGATATCGCCAAAGGGATTGCGCACGTGGGCAATGGGCTGGCCCTTTGACACGGGCTGGTCGACGGCAACCAGCATCTCGACGAAGCCGCCGTGCTGCGTGTACGTGTCGTGGAACGTGGTGATCATGTATGTGTTGCTGAGGTCGGGCTCGACGGTCGCGTTGCTGGGCGTCATGGCCAGATCGATCATGACGCGATCCACGTAGGCGACTACGCGGTCGATAAGACTTGTGTTCCATACGCGGGCTTCGCCCATTTCGACGGTGAGAGACGGGATGCCGTAGTCGACGAAAGTCGTTTCAATGGAGCCCGGCTCGCCGACATCGATTTTCAGCGTGTCGGGTTGCAGCAGCTTGGCGAGGCGCTCGACATAGGGAAGGCGGAAGTCGGCGTAGCACCAGAGTGATGTCTCTGCACCTGTGCTGGGGGTGTCTGACAAAGATATTAGTAAAAAAATTTCCCTTTTTTTTGTTCTCTTCATATTAATCAGTATGAGAAAACGCACGAAGGTCAATTCCAACATCGACATTAGACGTGTTGCCCCAGATCTGGTTCCAGATGTTGTATGCCAGGATATCCGGGCCACTACCGCCTGCCATGGGCGAAGTTCCAGGAAAGATGCGGTTGACATTGATGAGTGATCCGCTTCCAGCAGCCGTGTAGTAGTTGCGCTGGCTCATGTAGATTCCCATTGGGTTGATTGTAGGAATACCAATAACTAAATTAATCAGCTCGAGTCTCAAGAATTCACTATCAGAGTCTCATACCAGTGCCATTGAGCGTCGCCACCTGATCCTGGAGCTTGTCAAAGATGCGCTGGACCGCGCGAACCGGGTTCAGCTCATCACCGTGGATCGAAGCCGACACCGACAGCTTCTTGCCCGTGTGCACGCTCTCTGCGGTTCCGCGGGCCACCATGACGGGAATGTAGACGGGGTGTCCGCCATTGAGGTCGCCCGCGCGCATGTAGTACTTTGTGACAGACTGCGGGGGCAGGTCGGCGAGGTTGAGGCCCTGGATCACAGGGACGCCGTTCACGACATCGCCGGTGAAGTTGAGGGCATAAGCATGGCCGGCCAGTACCGCCGTGGTCGCAATCGCCGAGAGAAGCTGCATGGTGGCGTCGTGGAGCTGGATGAAGCTGCAATTGCCATGGCCGCGCCGACCACTCTCCCATTTATACCTCTGCCATTCCGATAAGAGATTGATCCATCACGCTCAACCCAACATTACTCTTTGTCGCAAACAGGAAGGTCGGCCTGGCTTTTCTCCACGCCGGTGACGGTGCCCAGGCGGACTGGCATGCCAATGCTTGGCGTGATGAGGATGACACGAGCCCGGGTCATACAGCGCAGGTACCGAAGCTTGAGGGAGACTCGAAAGCGAGTAGGAAGCAGCATGTGTAAGTAGCAGCATGAATCCACTAACAATGCACTCTACAGGTCGAGCTAGGATCGACGGATATGCACTGGCGGTTCTGATTTGGTAGACTACAAAGTCGTGCGAGTCATGCCCAGATAAGACGCGGCTAGGGTGGGCCTTGCCCTTGCATCCATCTCACCTCAACCCGGACTCTACCACTCCTTCGACTACCCAACATTCTGCCCAGGGCGCACATTATTCTACGTTTGCTCAGAGGATCAGCGAACTCTTCTCGTGCATCTATGTCTATCTTGCCCGAGATTCACCCACTACTTATCGTTACGCAAGAGCGATTATGCCGAAGAGAGGAGAGTCCAACAGTTGGGGAACATTGCAAGCATCGTGCCCAGCTTCCCCTCTGCATCACTTGCGAAATAACGTTTTCATATTAAACAAGGTTTTATTCTGCAGTTAATCCATTACGCTCAAGCACTTTTAGCCCAAGTTCCTTCAGCTTCGACGGCAGATGAAATGGATTGCAACTGCCCATGCTCCTTTTTATACTGCGCGTCATACCCTCATGCATTCATATTCTCATAAAAAAAAAGGTAGCCTTAAGCCTGAGCAGGCTCTCTCTCCTCAGCCGGCGGACCGCCAACAGTACCCCTCTGACCCGTAGGCACGTCGCCCAGGTTCCTCTGAGCAGCATGTCGAGGGTCATCCTTCAGCGTCTCGATGGCGCCACCGGCCTGCTGGTCCTTGACCCCAGACGCCAACCCAGCAAGGCCCTGTCCAACCCTTGAACCGTCGTGGAGTTCCTGAGAAGTCTGGCCTTGGCCTGGATGACCGAGACCGGTGTGAACGTCGGCAGAGGTAGCCCCTTGCAGAGTGTCAGAGGCCTGGTGGTACATCTTTTGGTTGTTGATGTCGGGGTTTGGCGTAAACGTCTTGTCTGCAGGTGCCGAGCCGGGAGGAAGGGTTTGAGCATGGAATTCAGGGACTGCATCATTGCCGACGAGCTTGCCGGGTTGGTGCTGAATGGTGTTAGTTGGGATTGACTAAAAGCAACATGTGTAGGACTCGACATGACACTATTCCGTCGATACATCGTGGGGGATCATATTGATCCAACATGTCATTACAACGGAATAAAGAAATGGGCTTGACTTACACCGCCAGTCATGAGAGGTTCGCTGGGAGCAACATGTCCGGCGAACTCGCGCCCGTCACTGACTGCATCTGGGTTCTTGTTCTGGCTCATATTCGCGGTATAGATTTGGCCGTTGGGTATTTGGAGTTTGCAAACAAAAGTTCAATGTATCCGTCGAAAGATCAAAGTATTGAAAGATGCCAAAAACTTGGAATGTGTACAGCAAACTATTTATGATGTGACATTCCTTCAGTGTATGTAGAAGCGTCACCATTTTGACATCAAACCGACGTCATGTCAGGCCCACAAATGGATCGGGCGCGCGAGGCGTAGGACCTTCGGCCTCTGCCATACTGAGCGGGTAACTGACGTCGGTTTGTGAGCTGGTCTGGTCGATTGGGCGGTGTTGTGGATGTTGATCGGCGATGCTGGAGAGCGGAAGGGGTGGGTGTGAAGGAGGCTCGTGCGATATTCGGAATGGGGTTCCGAGTAGATTCCGATACTACCTATCTCATTTGCAGTCCCATCCAAAGCCTTTCATGCATCTTTAAGAAACTAGGTACTGGAATATCTCTTCGATTTTTTCTAGCATCTCACATACCTGTGAGGAGTCTGCAATAGCAATAATACACACGAACCGTTACACCACCACGAGTAAGTACCGGCTGTTTAGACATTACATCCAACCACCTACACCAAACCCAATACATCTCCTCACACAACCCCATTACCATCTCGCTCCCATCCCTCCGAAAAATCCACTCCTCAAACCCCCTAATTCAATGCCCAGGAAGCTGCCCCCGCACAGCACCAGCCACGTACGTCGCCGTATGCGAGTCTGTAAAAAACCCCTCTGGATTCTCCACGATCCTCGCAACATGGAACCCATCAGCCTGGTCTTTGCCCGTAGTCGGGTTCGTAACATTGACAAAGAAGGGGCCCTTCAAGCAACCGAATGAGGTGCGGCGCTCGTCGGGGCCGGTGGGATTGGGGAAAGCCTGGGTAGGTTTCTGTTAGTCAAAATCTATTACATTGCATATACCCATGACTAAATTGAGGGATGGAGAGAGTGGTATTGCGTACCAGACGAGGCGGTCCAGGCTTGCCCTTTACACCCTCATGGATGTGTGTCGCGGTTATTGCTGGGCTCTGGTATGCGCCCGTTACGCCGCTGAGCGTAATATTGTAGCAGATGGTGTTTTCCGCAATGTTGATGCCGTATTTGAATAAGCCACGCGCACCGGGCTGGCCGGGCGCGGGTGAGCCGCTGTTAGCTATGACTTGGTCGGGAGTGGCTTTGATGACGTATTCAGCGTCAAAGGAGAAGAGCTTCTCCTTCTTCCACCAGTTGTTGTCGTGCGAGTCCCACAGATCATCCCATTCCTTCTTGCAGTCGGCTTGGTAGTCAGGCGTGGGTGTTGGGGCGGCAAAGGCCAGAGGGGAAGCTAGGAGAGCGAGTAGTGGTAGAGTGGTAGAGCGCATTATGGATGTGTATTGGGTATTAAGGTAGCAACTATGTGCAATGTACAATGGAGATGAGAAGACTGTAACTGTTGATCAACATCAGCTCGTTCTTCCACAGGTCTTTATACAAAACCCGGCTCTCCGCTTCATTTTCGAAATGACATCGAGCCCTTGATGCAAGAACTAATGACATAACAACTCTGCAGATCTGTATTCAATCAGTCATAAAGTTCGGAGATACAGGCTGATAGTCTTGCAAGACTTTCTGGGCTCAAGCAGCCAAGTCCCCAACACAGACTTGAGAGGTCTTGGGGTGCTCTTCCACTGAAGAAAGAGCGCAAGGTGACTCCTTGTAAGACACTGGCTTCGGGGACCTGACTGAAGGATCAGCAACTTTAAGCATGTCTGACCAATCAACAGCATCCCGTGAAAAGGCCGCTCGGTGTCTTGGTAACAGTAGCTTCCATGTTTATCCAGCTAGCTTGCCCTTTTCGGCACCACAACCTCTTCCAAGATATCGCCTAGCCGTCTTGTTACGGAAACATGAAGTTCCGTAGTTTCTTGCTCTCCAAATGGCTTTAGCTTCAATATTGTTTGCCATTCTGGGCAATGATTGCTCTACCGCACGGCTGTGCATGGCATATAGAGAAAGCGAAGCCAAGGCGCTACTGCGTCTCCTGCGATCTGAGATCGCTTCTGTTCTTCCGTAGCCGTGGAAAGATGTGGTCGCAGCGGAGAGTTCAAACAAGTCTTCACACAGCTTGTAACTGTGAAACATAAAAATTAGATGGAATTTCAGACATTCAGGCTCGTTCCAGTGCGACCAGAAGAGTAACAGTGCGTTTTGTGAGTAAGATGAATGACGTCATCAATCATTGCCGCCAAGAAGGCGCCAGGTACCGGTCTCTGCTCCGCTGTTTTGATGTGCTCGCACTGCGTACGCTAATCCACTGACAGCCGGCACTCGGAACAGGCCCCCAATAAAGTTCAGAGAAACTCACCTTGAAAGCGGCACTATTTCGAAGGACTGCAGCACGGAGTGAAGCGCCTAGCGGTGCGACATGGCCCAGGCATGTCCAAGCCATGGCCAGCCCCAGATGCACTTGGCATGATGACTTGTCTGAATGCTGCAATCCTACCGCTTGCCGAAGACACATGAGTAACTTGGCGGCCAAAGAGAGAAAAGTAATGCTTCATTCGCTGCCTCTATGCATGCTGTCTCACAGTCCACATGAAGACACATGGCCTGACACTCCGTGGATGCTGCCCCGAAACGCTTAGTACCCGAAGCCCATCTCTTCAGGTCACAAGGTGAGATTGCCGAGGTCTTGGAGCAGTGTTAGTATACAAGCGAAAAGTTCAAAGTACTCAGAAGCATGCACTTACTTGTAGAAACCTCTTCCATCATCCTATCCGAATGCCGTATGATGCCTGTGAAGCGTCCCGTGCCACCAGGCAGGAGTCCATCAAACTCGACAGCGTACGCCTCTTCGCTATCCTCCCAACCAGTCCGCAAGTTCCAGCCAGCGTCGAGCGCGGCGAGCTCTGAGGGATCGACTTCTTGTATAATTTCACCAAGCCAAGGCCACTTGGCACTCATCATTGCAGGTGATAGAGCGACCATGCGCCTGGTGAACCACGGGTGGCGATGGCCAACTTCAACAGCGTTGTGGTCTGCTGATCCATGAGTGAATTTACCGTAACCGCATGAGATGAACTCGATTTGCCGAAGATAGGTCCTGCGCGCACGGTTGGCTTTTGAGAAAATAGACCCAAAGTCGGAGAGATTGATGCCTGGTGAGATCTGGTCGATGATTTCCATCCAAGATCCTGGGCGCGGCTTTGACGTGAGCGTATACCGAACATTTGCAATGGCTGGGTTGTGCACATGCCCAGCGTTTATGAGCTGTTGTGCTATGGTATTGTTCTGACCCGCTGTAATCTGGTTTTGCAAATGGTGTACCTGCGCAGCAATGTGAGTGGTCATTGGAACGTTTGGGTGAGGCTGCAATGCCTGATGCTGTAGGTGTGGCATGAGTATGTGTAGCGGAACAGGAACATGTTGTCCGTTTGGGTTGAGCATCAGCTGCTGCACCGCCAATTGCAGGGTGGCAATATGATTTTGCTGAAGCCCGCCAGGATTCGTCTGGAGTTGCTGAAGTTGAAAATGGAGCGCATTCAGATACATCTGTAGAAGCTGTTGGTGGGGCGGTACAAATTGGGCAAAGTGACCACCGACGAGCCCCCCTGGCGCGGCTATTCCCACTTGAGCAGGGGCATGCTGAGGTGCTGCTGCTGGCACATGTACAAAGTTTACTGGGACGTGCGGGGCGTTGTGATGTGGCATGACCATGAGTGAAACTGAATCGAGCACCAACTCCTTCAAGGGATACAGATCATGTATCTGAACAAACTGTAGCAGCGCCTGTGGGGTGATCCAGCAATTCTTCAACCTCAACGTCTCGACACTGAACAGCGGAATGAGCCATGACCTCATGCGAGCTGCATCGACCCTAAAGAGGGCTGCCGGAGTCAAGGAGAAGCGACGATCCATGAGCTCCTCCAAATTGATGAAAGGGGCAGGGCATATGTGTTTGTTTCTGGCATGCAGTCCCTCGGCATGCTCACCACCAGTAGTCCAGCCGAGAGTCAATCTTCGAATGTTTGGGCGGGGAGCGATCTGTTTACGAAGCAAGGTATAAAAGGCAATGGCACTCTCAACAGGGTTGACTGGGGCAGTCGCAACGAAGCCGGCCTCGTCTTTGTGAACGGTTCGCCATCCTGGTATCACCATGAGAGTGACGTCCCAAAGACTGGGCAATGCATCCCAAAAATCCGTACGATTCAGCATAGGCAAGTAACGATCGGAGAGTCCTGAGATGTTCAAGCTATGTACCGCGTAGAATGTGGGCCGGTTATCGATGATGGAGAGCATGTATGAAGACATGAAAGCGCGTTGGGCCCACTCCGTCTCCAAAAGCCATTCTTGTTGAGCTTTAGTAAGGTTGGCGGGTATGACTGGATTCACAAGCTGTCCCGCATCAGGTGGCGGGGTGGTCGATGTGAACAAAACACCGGTGCCCAGGGATGACGGTGCTGATATGAAGCGCTCCAAGATGTACGGGTCTTCAAGAGACGTGGGTACGGCAATATCAGCTACATCGTGAGGAGTTGCCTCGTGTATCAGTTGAGGATCTAAGTAGGGCATTTCAGGCTCTACGTCGACCAGCATGTCTGCTTCTTTCAGTTCGGACAGAGTGCAGTGCCCATTTATTTTATAGAGCATCGCATGTCTTATGTCACTGTCGGCTTTCTGGTGGTATGATTGAATGTGTCTCCAAAGCTCTTGCTGAGCTTGCGCTCTACGATCGGGAGTTGCTTTGGTTGTGCCAAAAACGCTCAAAGGCTTACACAAGATGCGTGCTCGTATAGATTTGTCAGGCCCATTGAGCCAGCCCAGTCCGCTGTCGACGGAGAGGGCAAGTTCTTTCACTTTGGTGAGCTCGGAGAATGCAGTCTTCATCCGCGGCGTTTCGTCGGCGGTTGTTTCCAGGCCAGCGACAGCGTCGAATCGGCGATACTCTTCAAAGGGCCAATCGTATCTACCCCAGAAGCTTGTTTTGTTCTCAGTCAGCACTTTGACAGGCGGCGCCGCGAGCGAGTCTTCGCTGACTTCAAAGCTCATTCCATACTTCCGGATGTGTCTCCCAAAGCCACGGAAAACGTCGAGACCATGACCGTTGTACACTTCGTCGCCGTTGGCATTTTTCCAGGAATAATTGGGTTGCCCAATCCTCGCTGGCTTCTTGCCTTTCAAGTCTGGCTCTACTTCCTTCCCTATCATTCCGTAGATTTCGGTGTTGAACGGGACGACGACTGTTTGGAATATGACTTGCGAGACGTTGCGGTTGAGCTCGCGACTGACAAGACGCAGTGCTTTGATATCGTCACGATTGAGGTATTCTGCAATCAACTCTACCAGCTCCACGGGCAGCTTCCACTCTGAACGGCCAACTGGGGCGTTTGCAGAGAGATGGCCCGTCTCTGGCTGCGGGCTGCGGGCTGGCGGGGTGCTCTCACTAGCCCTGGCCGACTGACGCTTACTATCAGATGCATTCCGTTTGCTCGGGTCTAGAAGATAGTACTTGGCGGGTAGCTTGTCTGAACTGCGGCAGTGCGGCCAGATATCATTCGCTTGTGGATCTGGACTTTCGCTGTTGTGTACCATGACAGCTACTGCGCCATAGTTGTGTAGAGTTTGTGCGATGTCCTTGTCGTCAGCATTCTCAGATTTCTGGCGCGAACGCTTAGAGGGGCCGACGCCGGCGTGGTGAGAGGGATCTAATATGCGCTGAAGCGTTGTGTCATCTACCGGATCACGCCTCCTGCGCCGTGCATGCTGTGAAGTACTTGACGCTTGCTCTGGCCCGTTACGAGTGTCAGAGGACGACCGTGACCGACGTCGTCGGGCAGTGCCGTGGGGCGGATTGGATTGCATGGTCCAATCAAGATCGTACTCAAATGGGTCGGCGAGGATGTCGTCCTGGTCTGCTGGCCGCGACAAGGTATTGCTGGGGCGTCGGGGCGAGACAGGCGCTTCGTCTCTGTTTTGTCGGCCTTGGCTGCTTGAGAGTGTAGCGTGGGGGCGATGTCCTGCGGGCAAGGCTTCTGCCGGGGTTGCTTGGGGGTCAGCTCTTGGAGGAGCAAAGTAAGTGTGAGTATAGTGGCTGGGGCTGTGGGCCGGTGGGGCCGTTGTCAGCGGGCTTAAAGGTGAAGTTGAAGGTGAAGCTGAAGGGCTGGTGGGATTAGCGAAGAGAGATGCAGGCTGTTTGCGTAAGCGTGTGCCTGGGAGAGCGGCTGGCGCGTGAAGCTCAAGGTACCTGGCGGGTGCTGCTTGATGAGGCTTCTGTGTTTGCTTGGTCCCTGGGTGTGCTCTCCTGTGGCGCGGGCAATCTTGGCCACACGCCATTCAGCGCGGGGGCATTGCCTAGGGGGCTGTTGTTATTCGCCATGGTGTTGCAGGGCCACTGAGTCGCCGCTCGGCTGTGGATGCTGGTCCTCTGATGTAGTTGTCCTGGGTAAGCACAGCAGCACAGCGGTACGGTGGAGACACGGCGTCACGCCCATTGGGCAGGATCGCGCAGGACACGAGAACGAGGGAGACTTGTCCAGAATACGGCGGGAGGGTACCTTGGATGCTCAGGGCACCAGCATCACACGGCGGGGATGCGTATGGATGCGTATGGATGCGAGTGTGTGAGTGAGTGAGTGAGTGAGTGAGTGTGTGTGTGTGTCGCAGCATCAGCCGATGAGCCGAATCAGGCATTGGGACTGGGGACAAGACTGGAGCCGCACACGCAGGCGCGCCCCACCCCGCCGACCTTCTTACCAGCCACGCGCCATGCCGTTGACTTATCTATGTACAGGCTGCATTGCTCGCATATTACTGACCTACTCTGCGTCTCTCGTCGTGGTTATTGGCTGCAGTTCGCCCATGTTCCTGGCAGGCAGTCCGATGCATGCCCCAAACGCCATGGTGATCCTCCTGCTCCCGCTGCTGCTGCTGCTGCAACCCGTTCCGCCGCCTGTACTTTGCCGAGCACCACCAGCCCATGCATCAGGCGGCCTGCTATTTATCTTAGTCCAGCCCGCCGTCTGTTCCTTCGCTGCTTCACCAAAACCAATCCCAACAGAATCCCCGTCCCTGCTCAAGACACGCTCGCTCCCTTCAGTGGCATCATAGGTCACGTGCTGAGCGCCGAAGTCCGTCCTCCGCCAGGCAACACCCCAGACCCCCAGATGACATGGCATCTTCCGCCGCATCGTCCCCTTTCTTGTCGCTACCACGCGAATTGCGCGACGAGATTCTGGGCCATCTCGCTCTCCCACCGTACGTCTACACGTCTAGTACCAAAAAGGAAACACAGCATTTATACCAATCGCGCCGAGCCACCGGGGACACATACGTCGACACACGCATTAGCCTGCCTTCACGCCCCCCTGCAAACATCCTCGCGACCTGTCGCCAGCTCAGACAAGAGTGTCTGGAACACCACGCTCGCCTTCTCCACTCTGCCGTGTCTGTGCCATCGCCAAATTCCACGGAAAAGCCCTTGAGTAATGTCCTGGCAGAGAGGCTCGGTACCGAGTTTGCTGAAGAAGCAGAGCGAGCCTGCGATGATGGCACCCCGCGTATCACTCTGGAAATCCAGCGACCTCTGCGTGGCGTCCATGGATACTACGTTCCAGTGCGCGATGAACTGTCCCCCCGTTTCCTTGCCCTGCTGCCACTCATGGAGAAGGCGAGGAAGCTGAGGCTCACTCTTTGGCCGGGTTTTGACTGGTGGAATGGCGGTCCTCAAGTCTTCATTGACAAGCGGGGAAATGCTCGCGTTAACCCGGGCGAGGCAGCAAAGCCAAATGCTGCCTCGGTAGCCATCAACAAGATCCTGCACTACTTCCCTCATGTCCAAGAGTTAAGCGTAGATGTTCTAATGCAGGCATCCGAAGGGGGAAGATGGGATCTGCCAGATCGGAAATGGGAAAACGTCCAACCATGGCTCGATGCATCGATTGTGCCTAGTGTAGGGCCAAACATGGAGACCATTGTGCGCAAGCTCACGGGCTTTTGGGACGTGTCCAGACCTGAGCCGTTCTATATCCAGCATGAGGTCCGACAGTCGGAAAGGGAGTGGAAGATTGACAGGAAGGGCGACATGGCCACAGTAAGCTCCTCAGCCTCCGCTCCAAACAAGTGGTGCACTTGCTCACTATCTATGCCTGCAGCCCACAATGAAGTCCTTCTGCGATACCGGCAACGCAGAAGACATGGAGTTTCTACGCTCCCTGGCCATCGAGGAATCCTTCATCCGCAAAGACTAAACGCCACCTGATCGGAGCCACGTGCAAGCATCGTGCATAAGCATTGGTGTATCTATGGTTGTACATGCCTAGTGTTGATGCGTTTAATTTGGCCCTCAATCAATTACCGGCGAATTGTTTCAACAGTGGGGAAGAAACTAGCGCATATTTCGACCAGCGGCTCGCAACGCCACGTTTCAGAGCATCGGCTTTGCATCCGAGGCTGCAAGCTAGGCAAACAGGGCTGCGGGCATGGGGATTAATAACGGGTGATCATTTAATCATGTTCTTCCGGCGGGTTGTTGCATTGCCGGTGCACTTCGCAAATCCACCAATGTCCATACCAAGCGCCCAGCCCAAGCCGGATGATCGACATGCTTGTTCATTTGATTCTGGGGCATCCCTTGCAAAGAGATTGCTTGTTTTGGAATGGTTCTCTCGTGACATGTACACTTGCGCATACTATTGGTGTTGGTCTACTGTCCAGGATAGAAATGTTCCATCACTGGTGCGTTAACTGACACAGAGGCGCCTGTTGAATGTTTCTGCCATCGGCCCGATACTTGGTTTTAGCAGCTTATTTCTGAAGCCTTCACCCTAACATCTTTCTTTTCTTGTTCGTTATCTATATATAATACGAAACAATGCTTATGGTATAGTGGGAGTATAACTACTATATATCCAAAAAAATATAGCAAGGTAATCATCAGTATGAGAAGACTGGTAGGTCTAAATGATAAAATGTGTAGTAGTATTACCGGTAGTACTAACTCTCTCATCTGCATAAACTTTTCACAGCCGCCTCCATACGCTTTCGTGATTACTGTGATTACAGCACTCTAGACTATCAGTTGCTAGAAATCTGTCTCCCGAGTCGTGCATAAAACTGCCTTTTCCCGCCTTTTTAGCGGTTCAGCACCGTAGCTTATCACAAATTCGAGATAGCGTTTCGACCGCAATTCCTAGCTACGTATTCCAGTAACGACAGAGCAGAATATTATCCCAACTCTATTACCAACAAGAATCACCCTGCTAGCTAGCTGGACATTGCATAATGGTAAAAATAAAATAGTAGTGCTAAATTGGTGGATTATTAGAACGCCGATACCTAGGTACGTGAACTGACTAGTATAGTTTGGTAATTACGGTGGTTAGAGCGATTTAGGCTCGTTTGCCGTCTTGGAACATCCGCATTCCAGGATGTCCCGCCCGCAGGGCAAGGCTGTCCCGGCCCTCATTTCTTTGGCGTGCGGGTATTCCTGTGACAATATACTTAAGGCCCAGCCCTGAACGTGGAATTCACGCATCTGTTTTTCAACATCACTCCCTCTCTTTTACAAACACACTTTTCTCGCCAGACCTTCTCTTCATCATGAAGCTCTCTACATTCATTGCTGCTAGCTCAGCATCCCTCGCCCTGGCGGTGCCTGCTGCCCCTTTGGAGAAGCGTGCTGACTTTTGCGATCAATGGGGCTCGCAAGTCAACGGTCCTTACACAACCTACAACAACCTGTGGGGCAAGGGCTCTGCCACAAGCGGTTCTCAATGCACTGGCGTTGACAGCTACAGTGGCACACCTCATGGTCGTGGGCTGGCGGGTACGTACTACCTCTTGGATCCCGCTCTGATTCCATAGTTCTAATCATATCCATAGCCACGGACAAGTCAAGTCCTATGCCAATGTCGTGACTAACGTTGCCAAGAAGCAACTGTCCTCGATCAACTCGCTGCCTTCGGTCTGGAAGTGGTCCTACACGGGTAGCAACATCATTGCGGACGTGGCCTACGACCTCTTCACTTCCAGCTCCCCCAGTGGAAAGGAAGAAAACGAGATCATGATCTGGCTCGCTGCCCTTGGCGGCGCCGGCCCCATCTCATCCACCGGCAGCCCCATTGCCACCGTCACCTTGGCTGGCAACTCCTGGAAGCTGTACAAGGGACCCAACGGCCAGATGACCGTATACAGCTTCGTTGCGCAGAACCAGGTCCAGAACTTCAACGGAGACCTCATGGAGTTTGTCCGCTACCTCACCTCCAAGCAGGGTCTGGCCAGCAGCCAGTACCTGATTAGCGCTGGTGCTGGTACTGAGCCCTTCTCGGGCAGCAATGCAAAGCTTACAGTCAGCGAGTACAGCCTGTCTGAGAAATAGGCCTCTCCATCGATTTTGGATGCGATGTATCCGTGCCTTGTATATATCCTAAACTTCTTGTAAATACTAAATTGAAAGTCGAGCATCTCGCCCTTTTCACCTCGAGTCTTCTGCATCTTATACCCGTGCTAGTCCTAGAAGTACTCGCTGAAATGCTGCGTATCCAGGCTCTTGATGCTTTGCTCTTGTTGGTCACAGATTCGGGCTCTTTGAATTTGTAGATCCATCCTTGGTGCGTTGCGGATGCGCGATTGCGGAGGCGAGCGGATGACTGCTTGGTGACGGAACCGGCGCTATGTAATACTTGAACAGCACCACCTTCCCTAATCATCGTAACGCGAAAAGCTCTACAACGGTCGAATCTCTCGACATGCAGCTATGCATCATCCCAGTCCATGGTCTTCTACGCCAATACAGGTTAATGGACAGTGTACTGACAAGCTTCGGCTGCCGAGGACGTTCGCCCGCTCCACGTCTTTGCAGCCAATAGCAGCGACCCGCCCACGCACATGTCTTCGACCTTGCAGCGCCAATCTGCGGACGTCCTGTAGTCCGTTTCCGCCATCGAATGAACGTTGACATATTGTTTTTGATGACGATCTACTCACAGCTGTCCCCTTCACCTTTCCTACATCGCCATGTTTCCCGCGCTGCCATGACGCCGGCCGTCCCGCGTCAGCGCTGCAACATGACAGGAACATCGATTTTGATTGGGATGTCGGCTCTCTTCAATGCATGTTCCTGCAGCTCCCATGCAGTCGAATAGAAAAAACATGCATGGATGCAGCTCCCCAATGGCCCGGGACCGTGGAGGCAGCTCAACATCTTGAAAGCTACAAAAGGCCCTGTCCGGAAGGGCTGACGCCGCAAGTTTGAGCGGTACTCTTCTTCCATCGCCAGAGAGCCATCGCCAATATGAAGCTTCAACTCCTCTCGTTGCTCCAATTGGCTTCTTGTGCCAGGGCGAGTGTCAGCTGGTCCCAGAATCTCAATTATCGTTCGCCTTCGCAACACCACCCTTCTCTTGGAATCGCGATCCACAAGGTTGTCAAGAGAAATGATCCAGCGAGCGCATATGCAGCTTCCAGTTTGAACTTCACTCACGGTGTTGCATCAGGAGACCCATACCCAAACAGCGTCATCCTCTGGACACGCGTTGCGCCTCAAAGCGATAATTCACAATCCAACGTCACAGTTTCTGGATACGCACCTCTTTTCGACCATGATAACGAAAAGTACGTCCACGTGTCCAAGGCGCCAATTTGCGTGGAGTACAACGTATACGAGCACAAGGACAGCTCATCGGCGGTCGACTCCGGCAAGGTGTATACCAGCTCCGATGTCGACTTTACCGTCAAGGTTGAGGCGAAGAACTTGAAGCCCTTCACCACATACTACTACCAGTTCAACGTATGTGGATCAGACAACAAGAGTCCTGTTGGCCGCACCAAGACGACTCCAAATGCCGACGATGACATCACCAATGTCAGCCTTGCAGTGTATAGCTGCTCGAACTATCCTTTTGGCTTTTTTAATGCGTACGGTAACCCTGTCCGCAAGGTGTGTTATATCAGATTCGTGTTGAAGCTGCTCTTAGCTAACTATATACAGGACTCGGTAGACTACGTCATCCACCTGGGAGATTACATCTACGAGTACAAAAATGGTGATTATGGCTGGGGTAATAGCATTGGCCGCATTCCGCAACCAGACCGCGAGATTTTTACCCTGTATGATTACCGCAGGAGACTTGCGACATACCGTACCGACTTGGATCTTGTCGCCAGTCACCAGCAGTTCCCCTGGATCCCAGTGTGGGACGACCACGAAGTCGGTGACAACACTGTATGTCCTGGTATTATATCTTATACTAAAGAATTTTACTAACAATTGCAGTACCGCGATGGTATGTCAAAGCTCAACAACACTGAAGAATCCTTCCTGCACGATGGAGGCATTTCAGCCGACCAGCGCAAGATGAACGCGGTTCGAGCGTACTTTGAATGGATGCCTATCCGTCAAGTCGACATGGACGACAACCTCCGCATCTGGCGTTCCTTCTCAATTGGCAAGCTCGTCGACCTCATGATGCTGGACACGCGTAACTACGACCGCTCCATCACCGATCTCTACTGGAACACGGACTACATCCACGCCATTTCCAACGACGCCGGCCGATCTCTCATGGGCTCCAACTAAGAAAACTGGTTCTACCGCAGCCTCTCCAAGTCCGCCGAGCGCGGCGCAACCTGGCGCGTTGTAGGCTCGCAAATCGTCTTTTCGCACTTGAACCAGTCCGCTGCATACGGCACCAAGAACCCGCTCAACTACGATGCGTGGGACGGCTACATGGCCAACAAGAACCGCACGCTGCACCACCTCTACACCAACAACATCAACAACAACATCTTCCTCGCGGGCGATAGTCACGCCTCATGGGTCAGCGACCTCGTCTGGCTCGACGAAAAGCCCTACGATCCCGCCACAGGCGCAGGCAGCATCGGCGTCGAATTCGCCGGCTCAGCAGTAACCTCGCCGTGTCCCTACGGCGCAAACATCTCGCTCGCAACCGCAAACAACTACTCGTCCATTATCCAGGCCGCCAACCAAGAACTCCAATGGCAAGACTTGTACTACCGCGGCTACTTTGAACTGCACTTCTCCCCCGAGGAGCTCACGGCAAATTTCTTCGGCTTGCCCACAGTCGTCTCGCGCAACGCCTGGGAAATCCCTATTGCCAATTTTACAGTTAGGGCTGGCGAAAATAGGTTGCAGCGCCCTGTGGCGGGCGGTGTCGTTGAGAGTGGGAGTTTGAAGGGGGGGAAAGTCGTGCAGAATAATGTTACGCTTGATACGGACACTGGGACGTGGTTTGTGAGTCATGCTGACTTGGAGGTGTTGTAATGGATACGTGAGATGTGAATTGTTTTTATTTTTGGAGTGGCGAGGAGAGCAGAAATGCAGAATCTAGATCAAGTACACCGGGAATATATTCTCTTCAGTGATGGATGATTCATCGCGGGCATCTGTATGACGATCAATTCGACGTCTATAACAATGCTGGCAAAAAAAGGGGGGGAGGGGCATGTGCATGGTTATCGAGGTTGATGCTTTCGCGGTAAGATGGAAAAAAAGGGATAGGAAATGGATATAGGAGAAGAAAATTTACATTCATCTACAGCGCAATTCTATACCCTCATATATACCAAGAAGCCAGCACCAAATGAGAGATGCACGTCCAACGGCCCACGCATTACTCATACCCAGCTGGCTCGGGCTTCTCGGGAAACGCAGGCTGACCCAATCGACTGGTACACGCCGCGTGCCAGTTCTTGGGGGTAAACTTGTCCACGATGCTCTTGAACGCTTCCAAGGTGCAGAAACTCGTGTCGCCATCCAGATGCTTGCCGTCGGGCTTGCAGCCAGGAATCTGCATCACCTTGTCGTTGTACCTTAAGCGCACGTAGTAGTCGTTTAATTGGTCGCGCTGGGCCGGTGAGAGCTCAGTCATGGGCTTGCGGGATATGCCCTCGGGCGCGAGACCAGCGGCCGAAGTAGTCTTTGTGCTGCCGAAGAGCGAGGACCACCAGCTTTGGCTCTTGGACTGGGGGTCCTGCACTGCCAGGGAAGGGGATGGGGGAACTCTGCTGCGGTTCCTTTTTCTGAACATCTCGACGGCAACATGCGAGGTGAAAGGGGGCCAGTCTTCGCCTTCAAAGGCACCGAGCGAGGTCAGCAGACCGGCTAAAGTTGTGTCGTGGCAGCCTGAGAGTGCGAAGCGGATGTTGGTTTCGCCGCCGCGGCCTTTGCCTAGATTTCCATCTACGCCTCCTACTTCGACTATGCCCGAGTTGCCGTTGCGCTCGACGCTGCCTACCATTCGGGACGTGATGTCGCCTAGCAGGCCACCGATGCCGAGCATGCGGTACTCGGCCGACTCGCTGTAGCCCTTGTACCACTCTTCTACGGCAATCTTGTCGATGATGGCGCGGGCTTTGGGGTCGTAGAATTCCTTGGGGAGCTTGGTCTCAGGCCCATGAGCATCAGTGGCATTCAAGGTGTCCATGATACCTGAGAGTCGTGGGTGAGAGTCTACAGCAACCTTCTGGCCATCGGGCATCCATTTCGAGAGCACCTTGGAGAGGTAACGCATGTCGTCGGTATCATTCCATCTATCAGCTGCGCGTTGGGCGAATGCACGACTGAGTTGAGCAAAACGCCTGCAGCTGGCATCGTTGGGGAAAAGTGTCTCATCCGCAGGTGTTCTAGTAATGATAGTTGGAGGTGGAAAGTCAGATGTTCTTGCGGAGGGTGGGTAAAAGCCCCAGAATGCCTGCTGTACAGATTCCAGAGCACGCGGGATAGGTGTTGCGCGCAAGTAGATCATGTCGCTGTCAGAGATGAGCTGCGGCATGAACTTGAGCTGGTTGACATAGAGATGGCGAAGACGCTCGCCCAGAGCTAGCGTCGTCTCCCGGCCTTTATCGGTAAGTTCACCTGGTTGACATACGGCATCGAACTCGCCCTTGGGACCGGAGGCGATGACTAGATCCATTAGTAATTAAGGGTTGAACGTTAGAGATTGAGTACCTGGCCCATCGTCCATGCCAAATGTCTCCAGTCGCCTTCGGTATTTGAGTTGGTCCCATTTCGAAAAGTCCTTGGTGTTTAGGATTACGCTTGTGAGTTGGCGAGCAGAGTTGCAGTACGGCCAATCTGTGAAAGCGTCAGAATAAACTTGGCTAGGAGCTGGGAAGGTATCTCCTACATGGCGGAAGACCGGTCTGGCGGTATCATTAGCACTTGTATTATATGCTGAACTAAAGGCTTGTCTACATTTTGAAAGCGGGGTGACACAGGGCTTCTTTCGCCTACAACCGTCAGCATTGGCGCGCATAGGCTTTGTACCATGGTAGAGAAACGGACCATGCCGCAATAGCTATATTTGTAGTTAGTGAGATATAGAAAAAGAAAACACAGTATGCAACTCACAATCTGTACGAGCTGTAACTCGAGCTCCTTTGGATACAGCTTCTCCAGCTCGTCCTGGGAGTAGGGTTGGCGCGGGATTAATGTAGTCATGGTTTTTGTAACCAGAAAATTAGGAAAATTCAATTAAGGAAGAATCAAAGTCAGAAATGAGCATCGCAAAGCACAATCAGGTTGAGTCGTGTCGAAGACTATGGAACTTGCGAGTCACGTGCGGCGTGCAGACGTCATCGTGTCTCATTGGTCGGCGGTATTCCGCTCAGAGTCGCGGTGCAGCGCGCGCAACTTTGCCCATTTTGAATATTCATGGAGCTGCAATAGCGAGCCGCCCCAATTGGCCTTCCTGGTCTTCGATTCGAGTGTCTGCGCGCATGAGTGCCTAATCCATCCCGCTCGTGTAGGTACGCCATGTGTGCGCTGAAAAGTTCTGAACCTCAAATGCCTGACCACCATTCCAGTCTCTACAATCCCCCGCCTGCTGTTCGAGGCATTCTACAACGACATGCTGGGTGCATACGTGTGCCGGCAATGTCGGACACGCTTTCCTCGACGCGCTACCCTCGTTCGAAATCCTCAATGGCAACCTCGAGCTACGTTTCAATCGCTGCGCTCATCGGAGCCGCAACATGCCGCCAAACCAGCCCAAGACGAGGCAAGCCCCACAATGCAAGAGCAACAACCGCCTGTACAGAGAATGATACATGATGAGCCGAATAAAGAATTCACGAATCCAAGCTACCGGACAGCCCAGCGAAGTAGATACTCGGGGCTAGTTGACGACAATACAGTAGCCATTCCCTCCTACACTGAAGACGGCTACACTGAAGACGGCTACGCTGAAGATGGCTACATTGAAGACGGCTACATTGAAGGTGCGCAAGAAGACGTGCATGAAGAAGCACGGCCAAAGAAAGCATCGGAATATGCGCAAGCTTATTATTTTCCAATCTCTCGGGCTCTCTCGCGCAACAATGTTCGTGGAGCCTGGGAGTCATTTGAAAGGATATACACGGGAAAGGACTGTAATGCTCTTAGTGAGCACATCGAACATGACGACTGGTTGAAACAGGCAAGACTCTTGCCCCGTCTTCTCGAGAACATCACGCGTGATTTCTGTTCAGGCAAAAGCCGCGCAAATGTGGGTCCGGCTGCTGTACTGTTCAGATACCAGCAGCTTGGCATTGCTCGGAATGAGCACTGGGTCAGGCCAGCGCTAGAGCTTTTGACGCAAGAGGTCATTCGGGCTGTGAACGCGCTATCAAAGAGGCCCCTGGAGCACTTGCACTTGATGCTCCATGAGCTGATTTCTCTTTGGCGGCTGTTTTTTCAGTGCATGGGACCGCATGGCAATACATCAGAGTCCATCAATACCAAATGGCCTTTGCCATCCGTCGAAGAACTTCCAGATTTATATGATTACAGGGACTTCAACAGGCGTTTGCAGGGTTATATCCCCAAATATGTCAGTAGCCCTGCATTGGGCTTCTGCGCTGTGTACATGTACAGCATTTCGGACGCTTTGGAGCCGACGCTGCGTGAAGAAGCGGTGCCTTTTCTAGCTTTCATCGAAAAATTGCTGGCAGGCTCGCATGTGGACACCATCTTTAAATACACGAAAACCTCTGGTCGGTTCTCAGAATTGCCAGACGATGTCCAGCGCCAAATCATAGAAGAAATCAACATGGCCCCACGAAAGGCCATGGTAGCCGTTGGCACAGAAGGCGACAATCCAGACGAGATGACCAACCTGGAGATGTTCCATAATAAGAGGATAGCACGCGCTATACAAACGACGGCTTCGCCCATGAAACTGGAGCAACTCTGGGAAGAGGTCAAGGAAGCATATACTGCTGCAGACAAGACTGTGACGATTCCCCGCTCCATCTACAACCATTTTCTTTCCGGCTACTTGACCCTTTTCTGGCCGCAACGCGCGGTCGAAGTGTGGAACCACATGATTGCACACAAGGTCGAGCCAGACGTACAGTCGTGGGTTGCTCTCATGGAAGGTTGCGCAAAAACAAATGACATCGACGGATTCAATGCCACGTGGAAACGAATGCAAAGTGCTGGCGTCGAACCGGAGAACTTTGCCTGGACCACGCGCATCCATGGGTTGATGTCCCTCCGGCAAGTCAACCAGGCCCTGGCTGCACTGGACGATTTAGGCAAACGCTGGCTTGCAGCAGAAGATGCCATGAACAACAAGCAGAAGCGCGGCAAAGGGCAAAAGGCTGCAAGCAAGGTCCCTGGCACGGGTGTGAAGAACTGCATCAAACCGTCTATTGAGGTTGTCAATGGCGCGGTATCAGCGATTGCGCAGATGCGTGACCAACATATGCGGCACGAAAGACGAGTAGAGTTTGTGCAAAAGATCCTGACATGGGCGAAGACGTTTCAAATCAAGCCCAACGCCATTACCTACAACAGCTTAATCCAGCTGTATCTGCGGGCCAAGGACACTGCCACGGCCCTCCGCATCCTAGGACAGTTGGAGCGGGAAGGGCTCGAAGGCGACATTGCAACGCACACGATGCTCATCAGCGCGGCGTTTGAGAACCAAATCTTCGACAGCCAAAGCGAGCAAGAGCAGACGGAAAAGGTGCTCAAGGTGCTCGACGACCTGGAGGGCAGCGGGCTGAAGCTCAATGCCTACGTCTACTCGACCGTCATCGACCGGCTGCTCAAGAGCTACGCCAACTACAATGCTGTGCGCAGCATCATGGACCACATGCTGAGTCGCAAGTTCATACCGTCGGTACATGTCTACACATCGCTCATCACGCACTACTTCCAGTCGGAGCCGCCCAAACTGGCCGAGGTAGACAGCATTGTCAATCTGCTCTTCACTTCCTCACACGTGGCCAGCGACCGCATGCTCTACGATCGGCTGATCGAAGGCTATGCATCGCACGGGGAAATCGGCAAGATGATGAGCGTGCTCACGCGCATGTCCAAGCAGGGCAAACTGCCTGGCTGGAGTGCGCTGATTGCCGTGGTCAAAGCACTGGTGCAAGAAGGCGACTACGAGCGTGCACGTATTGTAGTGAGGGACGTTGCGCGGGGCGAGGGCGTAGCCTCAGGCGGCATCATGGGCGACAGGATGGGGCAATGGTACTTTAAGAAAACAGTCGAAAGCCTGGGGCTGGGGCTCGACGAGGAGAAAATGGCCGACTTCATGCGGGGTGAGACCGACTGGAATGGCGAGAGAGCAGTGGACCAGATGATGCCAAGGGAGCAGCAGCCACTACCTCCAGCACCACCACCACCTCCTCCTCCTCCTCCTCACACAGAGTATCCACGTGACGCCTTGGCCATGAACCAAGACATCCACGGCTTCTTGGCTGACCACCAAGATCCTACACCGGACAAGTAGTTTATGTAAAAAAAAATGCCCCCCTCCATAACACATGGCATTATGCCGTTTATATGAGTCGAGCCGAGTATGCGATAAATCAGTACCGTGACTGAAGTTGATTAACGAAAAATCATGCTTTCAATTTATTTTTCTTTGATTCCGTCTGGTTTATCACACGAGCCCTTTTTTTTCTTGCTTGCTTTCTTGGATTTTTTTTTGTTTTCGAGTCGGGTGAGGTGGTTCTCTTACGTCATTCAGGCAAGTGTAGGCGAGCTGCGAGCGAGACGTGAAGCTTTGGTTTCAATGGGAACCACACTACTGGCGCGACACTTGACAGGATCCCCCCTCTCTAAAGTGGGCTTTTCTGGCTTTGTTACTGGCCAAGTTTATGGATTCCCACGAGAGGGGAGGGTAATCATAACGGGCGAAGAAAAAGAGAGAGAGAGAGAGAGCTTGGTTGTGGTGTGGTGTGGTGTAGTGTGGGTCTCTTTCTTACCACTACCAAGGGGAAGAGGAAGGAAGTTTTTTTTTCTTTTAAACTTTGGGGTTTTTCTCACTTTCTTACTTGATCTTTACAAATCACTGTGAGATAGATCCGTGTGGGCCGATTTTTTTTTTCTCTCTTGCCAGATGAACCCGAGCTTCCCCCCGGAAAGTGGATTTTAGAATTTCACATGGGAGGGGGGCGTGGATGACTGTGGTGAGGATGATGATGATGGATCGGAGGGATGGGATGGAGCCGATTAAAGTCCGGTTTCGGTGGCCACTTGTATGGCCGACAAGCACAAGGTGGGCGACCAAGATGGGGGGGAGGGTGAGCGAGACACGTGTCGCACCTAAAGTGTCTCGAGCATATGCTTTGGCGCGCTGTGAGTGGTGGTGGGCTGTTGCTGGCAAGATAACTGCGACGCCGTGTTGAGGGAATCTGGTGAAACGCACTTCCTGCTCGCACCTTGTACGGTTGAGACTTTTCCCAGATGGGCCGAGAGTCCAGGGGTTTCAGCATCAGAGACACTCCTCTTAGGGTTTGATACGGACCGATAAGGTGGGAGAGAGGGGGGGGGGCAAGTATTTTTTTTGTATGTCGGTGATAGCCATGCGTGGGTTTTGGTCGATAGCTTGGTCGACAGACTGGCTGGCATGCGCATGGGGGACAAGGAGAGAAGACAGGGGTGTGACGAAGGGGACGTGGTACCTTAGGAACACTGCGTCGAGTGATATCCGGATGGAGCCGACCGGACGGCATGCCAGACGCTAGGAACAGGAAGCAGCATTGGGAATCAAGAATAGGGGACGGTGGAGCAAATTTGCTAGTATTTACGAGGTTGTGGTTAGCAAATGAAGATGAAAGCTGAGAGTGGTGAAGAGTTGACGTGGCGTCGTGGAGGCTGCAGATGGGCCACTGTAGATTAGAAAGCAAGAAAGCGGGCGGCAATGACGACATGGCTGACGGGCGGTCTGACTCGGCTTTTCCGTAGGAAATGCCGTAAAATATCCCCAGAGGTTTTTGGCATGATCAACGATAAGGCCGGCCAAGAATTGACCGTCTTGTCAAAGGTTATAGTGTCCAACGGCAAGGCGCAGGCGTGACCTTGTGCACGCAGTGCCAATGCAAGCAGGCGTCTAGTGCTGGGCTACATGGGGCTTGGCGGTTCGTCGTGGTGTTCGCCATGGCGAAGTTCGGGGCTGGTTGTTCCTAATTTTACATTTTCCATATCAGGGCTGATGACGCGGCCCGTGTGCAACGGTTTGTCGAGGCACAAGGCGAAGGCAGCAGCCTTTTACGGGTGGCGCAGTGTCTGGAGGCGCGAAGCTGGCAAAGTGTGAATGCAGGTGCAGTACTAGAGCGACGGTTTGGGGGTGAGGGCAGCGCGATTCATGCAGACGCAGCACGAAGCCGCGATAGGGTGCCGCTTTGGTGGTTGCGCCAGAGAATGGACAAGGTAGAGGGATCACCGTGTGCGGGCGGCAGCCAACGGCATGGGAGAGTGACAGGTTTGACGCGGTTCAGAGTTGCGACGGGTGTTTCGCAAATCGAGGGCTGCAGAGGGCATGGCCAGTGGCTTCGGCGCCGCGGGGGTGCGCAGTTGTTTGCAGCGGTGATGGCGGGTATGTATGTATGTATGTGTAGGTTGTGGGAGAGAAGGTGTGGTGAGCGCCACAACAGGTGCAGGGTGGGGCGCAGGCGGGCAGCCAATCACCAAGGCGCTGGCAGGGTCGAGGTGAAGGCAGCAGCAGCAGCAGCGCGATTAGGCGCATCACCAAGGCGCATGGGCGGCGCGAATAGGGCTGCTCGACGTGGCCAACGGGCCAACGACGGCAGTGGTAGCGCTGTTACTGCTAGCACGTCGGAAGGTCGGGATGCGGGTACGAAGTATACGAGCACGAGCACGAGCTGCGAGAGCATATCTGAGGAGAGCAGTGCGCAGCGAGTCGAGTGTGGCTGAGGCATCGCCAGAAGAGGGCGCTGACTGTGATGCGCCAAGTGCAGGTGGAGCCAGGCAGGAATTCGCGCACCGGGCGGGCGAGGCGAGGCGAGGCTCACGCTAGTGCCATGACAGCACAGCCTCAGTGGTGGTGCAGCACGGCGCGCCCTGATTGGCTGCGCCCCCGTCGGCGTCGGCCTTTGCGCGCCGAGGGTGCGTCGAGGCCACACAGCACGTCGCCGCCCCGCTGCAGAATGGCTGCCCGCCTGTCAGTCAGCGACTCCATATCCATCATCCACCATCCATCATCTGTCGTCCGTCTGTCACGCACTCACGGCGTCCCAAGCGCGGCCATGGTGCGGGCGGGGAACAAGGCTGGAGCAGAGGCCTTCCCGGCGCTCAGGAGACGCCAGCAAGGGGGGGGGCCGGCCACCAGCCAACGCTTGCGAGGCATAGCCATGGCCGCGGATCAGCAGCGGCGTGCCTGCCCTGGCCAACCGGCTCGGGGCAGCTCCTTCTATTTCCAGACGGCGACTCCGCCTCCAGGTGAAACGCCTCCCCGACAGGCCGGCGGACCCCCCTCGTCGCTCGCTCGCCCTCTCGCGCCCCCCCCCCCCCAAGCAAACAAGACCGCTGCCCATCCCTCGCCCGCCGCCTCCCCTTCAGCTCCCCCAGCGCCCCCAGCGCCCCCCTCTGTCTCTGATCCCCCATCGCCTGCAATCCCTTCCGACTCTCCCGCATCAACACATCGCACACACACGCCCCAAGACATTGTCAGCGCCCGCCTGCCTCCAGTGCACCCCATTGCCATCACCCACACGTCCCCCCCCCCAAGGTGCGGACTTTTCGGCTCACCGACGCCCGCGCCAAACCCGGGCCCCAGAAACGAGCTGACGACGACTTTCCACCAGCCTAACCGCTCCTGTCACACTCGCAGCGCCCGCAACGCGACGTCCCCAAGACACCACCTTGTCTACCCAAGGGCCGCCCAAACAACGATCCGCGACTCCCCAGTAGTCAAACAAACAACATGGCTACCGCAGTCCAGCCGGCCATGTCGATGGCTCCCTTCAACACTCTTTCTAATCAATGCGTCGACCCCAACGAGTTCTTCGACTTTGGCCAGCTGCCCTCGCCTACCCAGCCCGCCACTCTGAAGCGTGAATCGAGTGCGCCGTCGGCTATGGCCAGTCCCACCAGCACAAACATCGACGACGACCTTCAGACGCCCGCAAAGCCCAGCCACGAGTACGAGCTCTTCAAGCAGCAGACCGGCCTGCCCTCTGGCTCCATTGCCGGTCTTGGTCCCAGCTACAACACCGGCTTTCCCATGTTCTCGTCCACCGGCCTCGACGAGATGGCCATGATGGGCGGCGACTCGCTCATGGACGCTTCTTCCTGGAACTCGGGCCTGTCCATGGACGTGCCCATGAACATGGGAATCGACTACCGCCAAAACAGCTTCGTCTTCAACGAGGGCTCCCAAGACGACTTTGTCGACCCCAGCGCCATCACCCAAGAAGAGGTCCCCAACGTCAGGGTCTGGCCTGGCATGCACCAACAGCAAGCTGCCATGGCCAAGGCCCAGGCCCAGGCCCAGCAGCAGCGCGCACAGCAAATGGCCCACCAGAAGCAGCAGCAGGCCATGCAACAGCAGCAACAGCAGCAGCAGACACGTCTGCCCTCGACCAGCCAGGCTAGCCGCAAGACGTCCAGCCCACTCAGTGATGCCCACACCGAAGAGATGATTACGCGCGTCGTCGCACAGATCCGCGCCGACAGCCAAAACGCCTCTACCACGATGCAAGAGAACAACCAAGGCCTCCTTCCTCACATTATCCGCGCCAAGAAGGACGAAGAGGACATGGACGAGGATGAGAGGCTCCTTGCTTCCGAGGAGGGCAAGAAGCTCAGCTCCAAGGAGCGCCGCCAGCTGCGCAACAAGGTTTCTGCGCGCGCCTTCCGCTCAAGGAGGAAGGGTAAGTACAGCATGCACACATTCGCAGACTAGGCTAACATTGCTCAGAATACATTGGCCAGCTCGAGGGCGAAGTCGCCATGAAGGTCAACGAGGCTAACGAGCTCCGCGCCCAGAACCGCCTTCTCATGGAGGAAAATGCCCGCTCGCGCGCCTTTATCGAGCGCCTGCTACGTCACCAGGCCTTTACTCCCTTCCTCGAGGAACTCTCGCGCGACGAATCGCTCCAGATCAAGGCACCCATGACCTCCATGGCCTCGTCCTCGGCTACCGTCACGGCTGCTCCCGCTCCCGCCTTCCAGGCCCCGCAGCCATTCAACGGCATGTCGCAACCCGAAGCCACCCAGGTCAGCATGCCCATGGCTCCCGAGCCCCAGATTGACTTTGCCATGCTCAACCTGAACAACTCCAACAATGCCAACAATGCCAACTGGAACGTCAACAACGGTTTCAACTTCCAGCAGCCCGTTGCTTTCGCCGTGACAGAGCTTCCCGAGGGTCCTTCTAACCCCCTTGACACCCAGGCCATGTCCGGCAAGGGATACAGCGCCATCTTGGATGCTGAGGACGATGCTGCCGACGAGATCAAGGCCGACTACCCCGTTGTCAAGTGCCCCGTGCCATCCACCGAGTCCGCTGTCGCACCCGTTGATGAAGCCGAAGATGAGAACGACGAGTATGCCCTGTACTACTCTGCGCCTGCTCGCACCACAGCTGTCCCCGCCTCGGCCCCGCTTGAGGAGCAAGAGGCACTCTTCACCAATCCCGAGAAGGTCTTTGCACACTACTCACTCGTCCTTTCTGATGAAGCCAACGAGACACGTCTAGCAGAGCGTCTGCAAAGGAAGATTGCTGCCATGAGTCCTGCCATGCAAAGAGTCGCCGACATCACCTCGATGCTCGACTCATAGTCTGCTGTCAATCTACATTGTCTCTGACTTTCTTGCATCTATTGAAAAAGCCTAGCGACGTTTTTCGCGGCTTCGTCTCATAGACTGTTTCTTATATGATTGGACGATTCCTTTTGTTACCACATACCCAAGTCGACTTTGTTTAGGCGCGGCTTGAGCATAGCGCACAGCAAGCGTGCATCTCTTTCCTTTGTCTGTTTGTTTGTCTTTTTTCTTGTACTGGGCGAGGGTATCAAAACACGGGTTACTTATTTGGAATTTTGGTGTTTATTTGTTTGTACATTAGAGTGGCATGTTTAATACCCCCAGGGCGTGTTTCAGCATTGCGATATGGAGGGGGGGGGGGGGGAAGAGAGAAAGGAAAGGCATGTGCAGAATTCGGTGTAGATGTTTAATTTTTGTTTTTTTTGGTCAGATAGGTCGAGGAGAATATGAGAATATCTATAAAAGTCTTGCTGTTTTTGACACATGTGACTTGGCATTTGCCATGGTACGAGTAACTTTACCAACTGCTCCTTACACACACGATGAAACGGACTACTTTTGGCGCCAAGTACTGCCGTTGGTATAAGAGTCATGAATAGCCAGTACACCGTAATATCCCCAATCCTGGAGATAGCATTTTACACTTACTACCCATGACTCAAGGCACATGGCCCACTTCAACATGGCACGGATAAAAGGTCAAACTTTGATACTATATTTTGGATGCTACGCCAAACATCTACATACACCAAGCCGTGGGCGCTCCGTCCAGTCGGTTTCATCCCCGCGGGCCTCGGGGCCGCCAAGTATCTACAAGGAAACCCAATACCGTTCAACACCTGCGGGAAAGACTGATGTACGCTGTTTCCTTGTACGCTTCATTTTTGACCCTTGTACTATGTTGTTGTTGTTGGTGTTTCCTTTACTTTCCCTCGCTCAAGCCAATACCGCCTGAAAGCGCGTGGCGCGCGTGCGCATGTTGATCTTGCCAGCGTGTTCGGGCGCTGTCGACGGCTGCGCCTTCTTTGCTTGCTACGATGGTGGTGTAGGTGAGGCCGAAGACTGGGACGCGATATCGTTAGTAAAAGGCGAATGGTGGGTTGGAGGGGACAGGAGATGTACCCATGAAGGCGGTGAAGGCGGGGAGGTACGACTTTGCTGCTGCGGGCATTTTGATGGTGTTGTGTTGGATGGAGTTGTTTGGTGATGGTGGTCAAGTAGATGTGGATATCCGAATATGTGAATCCTGTTCGTTCGTCGACTTGGTTGTATGCAAGATGTATGGATCCAATATCGATGCTAAAAAAAAAGCCCGTGGATGCAAAAGTGTACTTGTAGATGAGGCTGTAGTGCTGTGCTGTGCTGCAGTGAGACGAGTACCCGGTTCCCGGCTCTTATATCACTGCTCAAATACTCCAAGCACCGTGGTATTCGCCATCCTAACATTCCCACGGCTGGTCCCGAATACCCAGCAACTCAACCCGCCAACCAGCATGGTGGCTATAGTGTAGCGTGATGCCCAGGACCCCGGGATCGCAGCGCGGGAAGCCAGCCCAGCACTCTGGACGTGAACACACGGAACGGCATCGTGAGACGCGCAAATAAATCATCGGCTGCTATTGGCTGTCGGACTACATGTCGTGTGATGTGCGGCCTTACGGATGGTTGGAGTGGTGGTGGTGGCGAGACATGGGCAGTTAGCCAGGGCGCCGTCGGGCGGTGCCGCCAGGGCGGTGGGGTGACTGGTTTGCGAGCGTCGTACGACAGTATGCTGACCGTGTGCTTGGGAAACTGTGGGGGTTAGCGCAAGCGTCGTGGGTAGAGTATGCAAAAACAGTGCTCTCGCTTCGATGCGGATGTTGCATTTTGGTTTCCTGGTTGTTGTTTTTTGCGTTTGCGTATGCTGCGGTTGTGAATCTTCGTTTTCATGGGCCAGATGGACCTTCGGTGAACAAACCCGACCGACGCCGCGTTAGGGGACGGCGATTTTCGTATTCGACGGCGACAGCATCAATGCACAGTTCCATGTTTTATCAAATGAATATCATCTAAGAAAGAGATAGATACATGGGACACACAGATGTAGTTCATACGAGCACCCGGCTTCCTATGCTGCGAAAAGCCAAACTCCAGGACGGGCCCAGATCATTAAAGGATACGATGCCGACCGAATACTACAATTAACTCCTTCTCTCCAGCGGAAAACCGCTCATCCAGTAGTTATGCAGTATAAGTTGAACTCAGTTGACTATCGTCAGAATGGTGCCTATATTCCGTCAAAGGCTCGACGCCCACCAACCAGGAGCGCCCTATTACGGCTTTCCAGGACATACACTGCGATTATGTACATTATTACTCGACGCGATGTAAGTATTACTTACCGTGGTCACACAGTGCTCTTTACGGCCAATGATAGCCGTTGCTTTACAACATAGTAGTGCCCAACGAACCACTCATATCACTACCGTACTATGAAGGAAATCCGGGGTCAAGCAACCTCACCTGATAAAGCGGCCACGAAGCAAGATACCACACAACACGACAATCATGGCGACTCCAATCCTCAGTATCATCCAAGTGACGGCTCCTCCCTGGTTCACAGAAATTCCCGTCTTCTCCATCGACGCCGTCAAGCCCGCTGTGCTGGCAACATCAACTATACAGCCTGACTTGTCTAGTCCTACATCTCGTGCAGTCAAGCACGATTATGGCGACTGCGCAATTCTGCCAGCAGGCCATGGTCCCGTCCCTAAATACGATAACACAAGGGGCTTCTACCACTCGCGAGAGATACACGATGCAGCGAAGAAGGCACACACACCCCCGGGCTACATCAAGAGCTTCATCTCTGCAACTGGCTCGTACGTCGGCGCCATCTACCTCGGACACTACGAACTCGAGTCGTTTGACACGCACGAGTGTGCCAGAAGGTGCACTGAACACGGGCAGTTGGTGAATGCTACTCAACCCAGCGTTCCAACCGGCACATCAGCAGCAGCAGCCGCCAAAACCACAGAAACCGGATACGCACAGCAGACGCCCGAAGAAACCTGCGAGGGCTTCAACGTCTACTTTGAGCGCTCCCCGACAATCCATCTCGGCCCACACTGCCCAGACGCCCCCAGCCGCACCCTCATCAAGTGCGCCATATGGGGCGAGCCGCTGCACGAGGAAAAAGCTACAAACACGGGCTACCGCGAGTGGGATTTCGACGTTGCTATTGCGGGCTCGAATGGTTATTCTCTGGCCAAACACGGCAAGGGAGGAAAGAGTATGGCGGCGTGTGGGAAGAGAGTGGCCAAGACGCTTCTTGCGGCGGTTTTTGTCGGACATGTGCTTTGGGGGCTTGGGATGTTTTGAGAGGGATGGCGTAGCTGCTGCTGCTTATACTTTGAGATTTGAAGTGTTGGAAGGATTCATGGTTTGGGAGAGAGGTATTGATGATGAAGTTTTTTCTACCTACTTGGCTTGCTTTTGGGGATTGCTGAGATGGTGGGGTGCATTATACGAGAGCAAGAACAATGTATTTGTACTACTGATTCTTCGGGAAAAATCCCCAGCTGTGTTACTAGAAGAGCCTTTGGTCAACAGGACGGACATCTATCTACATGTTGTGAGAAATTCCACGCGACGCCAAGAAAGCAAGTCAAGTATAAGAATAAGAAGTTTCTCGGATACGTAGCATCAAACCCCGAATCTCGGCTTGAAAAGATATCCGCAGCTACTTACTGCCGTTGTTCCTCTTTCTTTTAGTCGCAGATTCAAGCCCCTCTTTCTTCTTCTGCTCCTTTTTTTTTTCCCTTATTATCTCGTACTACAACATACATATAAACACACACACACACACACACACACACATAATGCGTGCACGCGGCAAACACATCTATATATGTCCAGGACCTACCTGAAACCTCCTGCTCCTTACTAATCTTGGCTTACTCTACTGTACAACACAAAAGACGAGCTATGTGGTGCTGTCAGTGCGTGGCTGTACATATATGACCACGTACACAACAACCCATGACAAAGTTTCTTCAGTGATGCATGTCATTGAAGACGTTGTTGAACACAGGTACCAGGATAAGTACTTGGGATTTTACCACAGCGGAATATGTGATTTGGATATTGCCTGCTGGAAGACTACGTAGCGTGTTTTGCCGTAATGACATTGCGCCGCTCTTACATGTCCTACTTGGCCGCTTGGACTTTATCGGGTTTTCGCGTGTCTTTCTTGCTTAGCGTCGATAATCAGAATCCGGGGTATGCTTCTGCTCCTGCTTTCAATGTATCCAATGCCGTCTTTCTCAAAGAAGCGGTAGGTAGACCTGTGTTACGCGGATGATAAGTTGGTCAATTAAGTCGTACGTATACTCGCGACGCAAGGATGATTTAAATAGTTTTAACAAGATCATCGAGCTTCATCCACAAGGACTGCCTTCTCTAAGTAAGCAGGTGCTTCTATGCTTTATATAGAGCTTTACCAATTACTTAGTAGAGAAAAGATGTATTAGATAATTGCTACAGGGTCATGACTTGCTTTCTTTTGCTTCAGACACCATCGCAGCGTAGTTGGACTCCCTACACCATCATCATCATCATCATCATCATCATCATCATCATCCTGCAAGATTACAGCCCATATCCCTATATCGAGATTCTAAAGGAGATGCATTAGGATATAGTTCTCCATGCAATAAATGGAAAGTACGTAAAGGGGAAGTAATTAACAGTGTGGTTTTAGGGTTCAGGGTAAACGTAAAGTACTACTAGAACATCTATACAATGTACATGTCCAGCCATCTGAGATATCTACTAAAGAGAAATTCTCCCTTGCTTCCTTTTTTTGTTGGAATACCTCTTCTGGATCTGTGTTTATTCTTATTGTGGCTTTCTTGCCTTCTTAGACTTGAACCCGTCCTTGTCCACTGCTCTTGTCTGCTACTACTCCACATACGTCAGGAAATTTGGCATGTTTAAAGTCACTATATGCTGCATTCTCTCCCTTGGCAAGCCTAACACTGGTCTTCTCCTTAATCGAGCCAAGTTAGTGCCATATCATGACGTTCAGTTATGACTATCGAATACCTGTTCCAAAGCATATTTTCGTACATTGTCTTTCTCGGACTCAGTCCTCACCATATCCAACAGTGAGCGCCTTTTTTTTTCTAGTCTTATCATAGGCTACTTCCTCCTATAAAGGATACGCACAAGTACGTCTGTATCGATCTAGTAGATAGATGTGGGTGTGCAAATATTGTACAAGTCCTTGAGTCTAACGTGCAACCTGCCTGGAAGTCCTTCAGTCAACGTTTTTGGGGTTCGCGATATCAAGATTGATATATCTATTGCGTCCTTTTTCCTGGCGCCTTGGAATCTACAATCACACCCGAATAAGAGTCGAAATCCCTGGCGGGGCAGAGAGATCGCCTTTATATTATGTACTGTCTGATATTCCTGATGTGAGTGTATGATTTTCGATATATTCTATTTACGCAAGTGTAACTATATCAAGATATACACGTATTACCCAGGACGCCACTACCTCAAACAGAAGTACCTCACCCTTACATACTACTCATCTTGACCTCGCACCACTAACCTGACACTAAAGCTAAATAGGAAAAAAGAGGTCTTCACAAGAGGCATCACTTCGTCCCAGCAGCAGCAACATCAAAAGCGTAAGAATCAGAGAGAAATGATTACTTATCCAACGTTTGTCAAAAAGGGGGGGGGGGGTGTGGGGTATGTGTTATGTAAGATCTAACACCAAGAAAACAAGAGAGAGAGAACCAATTCAAAGTTTGAGGCCGAGAAAAGAAAAGAGGGGTGAGTTACAAAGCCGCCATTGCACTATCGCATCTAAGCGATTTTTCTCCACTACCCAAACTACGAGAGATGGTTCCCCCCCTTTTCCCAACACATGTGTTGTGTGAGTGTGAGTGTGAATATGTATATATATGTGCGTATATAGGGCCGTGAGGGTAACTATCCTTGAAGAGCAACTTTTTTGCGCACATTTCCCTTTGTGTGAGTGAGAGATTACCTAAAGCGAGCTGTGCAGCGGCCCATGACCTCGCCTTGGCAGACAAGCTCGGCGTTGAACTCTGAACCGTCGAGCGTAAGGTAAATGTCAAAGTATACGCGGTAAAAGGTCCCTTGTGGCGTGTCCATGCGCTCAAAGTCCTTTTCGAGGTTTTTCCTTGAGAGGTCGGATGTCAATGTGACGACTTCTTTGATGCCTGGTTATGTTAAAAAAGTTTCTTCACGCCACGGATTATAGACTTACGAGGATCCTTGGTGTACTCTGGGCAGACATCGTCATCGCACGCGTAGAGAATGTCCTCATACATGAGCGTTGCGCCTGGCGCCACTTGCCTGAAGAACGAGACCTTGACCGGCTCGCCAATCTTGACCCTTTGGCCTTTTTGCACAAAGATTTGGCGCGTGTACTTGCATCGGTCCTTGCCATCGAGTGAAGGGACACGATATTGTTCTGGGTGGTGACCCTCCTTGAAAGGCTGGAGGGTAGCCATGAGATAATGCCTACGCGCGACACGGTGCGTAACGATGCGCTCCGTGATACCAGCTGTAACGGCTCCTTTGACAATGGCAGCGACGGAGTCCATGGGTCGCACCACCTTGGATTGGAACTGCGGTGGGACATGGAGCTTGATTTGCTGGAAGAGGTATTCGGAAGCACCGAAACCACCGACAACCAGGACATTCTACTATCATTAGTATTCAACACATCTGTCTTTGATTCCCAGACGTACCTGTAATGACCTGTTCTGTGCTTGGATAGCAATGATTTGATTCCTGACAAGCTCGAGGATCCGGTTCACCACCGGCTCAAAGCACTGCAGAATTTCTTCATTGGTAAAAGTCATGTATCCTTCCTCGATGCCTGCTTCAGGGAACTCGGCCTCGATGCCCACGTCAACGGCCCACTTTTGTCCATTGTTACGGAAGTCGGCCTTTATCCTGTTCTCAAAGTCCATGATGCACTTGGCGTAGACTTTGCCGGCAGTCTTGGAGCCGTCTGGTAGCTTCATCTTCCTGATTTTAGCGCGGAGGATGTTGCTAAAGTTGCGGTTGAGCGCAGTGGAACCGCACGAGTCGCCGGAGCCTGCTGTGCACTCGGCGACGGAGAAGGGCTGCTCCTCTTCCACCTCGTAGGCGATCAAGTCGACCGTTCCACCACCGCAATCAACAATGAGGACCGCATCGTGGATCTTGAGGTTGAGGAGACCAGTCTTTGAGCAGAACATGGCGGCGGCTTCGGGCTCGGTAATGAGCGTCAGCCTGTTGTCGTTTTCATCGCGCAGGAAACCAGCCTGGATGGCGGCAGCACGCGTGGCAGCCTTGCCAGCATCGTTCCAGATGGCAGGGACTGTTAGGTAGTACCGGATATTGCGCTCCTCACGGTTGAACACCTCTCCCAGTGTTTTCTGCAGCTGGTTGCGCATCGCCTGTCGCAGATGGAAGAGGTAGTCGGCGGCGACATCAATCTCAGACTTGCCAGGAGGTAGCGGGGGCAGGTTGATGGGGTCAATGTATGTGTTTCCCGACAGCATCAGCTGCAGCTTGAACCACTCGACCTTTTGCACGCCAGGCTTGGGGTAGCCGGTCGGGGCCAAAGCATCGGCAATGTCAGGCCCCCATCCCACCACCTTCTGGTACTGGTCGTAGTATAGCACAGTCGGGATCTGTTTGGGCGCGCGTCAGCCACGGGGCACACTATGGCGGGAGGTGCGTCACGTACTTTTTGCTTTGTCTGGTTGCCGGCGCCAGGCCATTCGGTGATGATGTCTTCCTTGGCCTCGGTGTTGGTCGCAAAGGCAAAGGCGACGCCCGAGAAGGTTGTGCCCTGTGACGGTCATGGTCAGCTGGCGGTGGTGCCGCGGCGATGGTGCCTGGGGCTACTCACAAAGTCGATTCCCACAATCAGCTGCGCCTTGGAGCGGCCCTCGCCCGCGACCTCTGCCATGTTGTTGGGTCTGTTGTATGCGGCGGGCGGGCCATGGGGCGTGGGCGCACCTGGCGGAGGCGCACCATAGCCGTGGCCATAGGCAGGGCCTGGAGGGCCCTGGGGAGGATATCCAGGCGGGCCCTGCTGCGAAGGATAGGGCGGCTGCTGGGGAGGGTAGCCGGGCGCGCCTGTGTTGATGGGCGGCAGCGGGCTTGTTGGGCGGCCATGTTGAGGCGGCGGGGCCCCGAGGGCGCCTGGGGGAGCGTATGTGTACGAGGGCGGGCGGCCCAGGGGGTTCTGGGGATTCATGGGGAGCGAGGAGCTGCTCGAGTTGGAGACCTGGGGAGAGAGCGACGTCGGGCGCTGCTGGCCAGTGGGCGGCGGGTTGCCTTGGGGCGAGGGGGAGGAGGGGTGATTCTGTGAGGAACTCTTTCGTTTCGAACCCACTAGGTTCTTGAAACGGGAGTTCATGGAATTCATTCAGACTGCGACGAGGAGCGGGCTGCGAGTTGCGGGTGGGGTGCAATCAAGGATATCTGCGAGCGCTGCTGCGTGCTGCGGGCTGCGTGCTGCGGCTGACGGGCGAGCTGGGCAATGTCCGAAACGGCGCAAGGCTGGCTGTGTAAAGGAAGAAGCCCCGCCAACTGGGCTGCGGCGCAGTCCCCGGGGAATTGGCGGAGGACGCGCTCTGTCGCCGGCGGCGGCGGCCTTTGTATCCTTGAGGCTTGACGGCGCAGACACGGCGCAGACACGGCGCGAGAGGGGGCGGCTTGCTTGGGGGGGCGGCGGCGAGGGCGAGGGCGAGGGCGAGAGAGGGCGTGTCCTCGTTCCTGGGCTGGGCTGGGCTGGGCAGGGCAGGGCGCTTGCAACTGAGCGAAATTGACGCGGCGGGGTCGCTGTGCCCTCTCTCTCTGCCTCTGCCTCTGCCTCACCCTCACCCTCTCCCTCTCCCTCTCCCTCTCCCTCTCCCTCTCCCTCTCACACCATCTCCCTCCCTCCCCCCCTCTACACCACCACGCCTGTGGAGCGTGTCCCGCGCCGGTCAGCATCCTGGCCCGGGGGCGCGACTCCAGCAGCGCTCGCCGCAGACGGCCCACGGGCTAAAGGGATTACTCACACTCAGCCACGTTGAAGCTGGCTGCCAAAAGCGCCCGTCGTGCGCCCGCCGCCTCAACATGGCTGCGTTGGGCCCTGATGGGGGCGCTGCTCACATCAGCATGCTTGGCCGCGCTGGATGCCTCAGGCCAGCGCAGCCAAACTGCACCGCCAACGCCAAAGGCCTGCATCGTATCAGTGTCAGTATCGCCATCGTATCGTGGGTACAGTAAAGGCTGCTCTCTGTTTCTGCCGGCCAATCACGTGCCCATGTCGCTGGCGAGCCCCACTAAACTCGGCGCCAGGGTCCATAAGGCTGGCTGCCCGCGCCTACACCTAGTCCTGCCACACGCTCGCTCTGTGCCCCTCGTGTCTATTGCATGTACCCGTACAAGACAAGCCCGCCGCGCTATCGTCTATCCAACGCTTGAAGCCGCCAGAATCCCCCCCCCAGTGTCCATCCCCGACAATCTCCCCATGTGATTGTCCCCATGACCCCTCGGCGCCGGCTCGCCTGACTTCAACCCAACATCCTCCTCCCCAACGCCAGCCACGCCAGTATCCCCGAAATCACGAAGAGTATAATCGCAACAACAACCATGGCCACCATCCGCTCAACAGAGTACCGCACGTCATCTGGCCTCGCAATCTCTATGCCCACTTCGCTCTCCTCGTCCACCTCGCCCGCTTCATGCTGACTATGCGGAATGTGCTGAATCAGTGTTTCGCGAAACGACTGCCGCACCGCGATTGCATACGGCGGAGGTGCTTCGCCGCCGTATGAGTCGTCCTCTGGCTCCGCGTACATGTGCGTGATGATGAGCTGTCCAAGCGGCACGTCATCGCCATCTGGACTGCTCGGCCGCCATGCATCACTGTAAGGCTGGAATGTCGCCTCGCGTCTGCTTTGTCCACAGTAACCGGGCAGGCCATTCTCGCACTCTGCGGCTATCACCGCCTGTGCACGTATTGTTACTGCATCCTGGTACAGCGCGCCGAGTGAATACGGAGGAGGTGCTTGCAGGGGCGCTGGCAGCAGCTTGATCGCCGCTGGACGGTGTAAAGAGCTCGGCCGTGTGTGCCCGGTGGAAGCTGTGCTTTGTGAGTTCGACTGGCCATGGCTGTATGCTGCTGATGCCGTGTTCTGGAGCAAGTGTCAGTAGCCGGTGCTCTGCATCCCAATATTGAATCCTTCTGTACCTCCATGCTGAGTTCCCGAGCTCTGCTGTCTTTGCTCGTCAATTCTTTCTCACTGATGCTCCTCACCAAACCATGGGCCTTTCCGAATCAATCTCACTGGAGCTGTTGCTGTTGCTGTTGCTGTTGCTGGTTAGTTTGCGAAGAGAGGGTTGGCCCCGATTGGGAAATGCTGCCTGCACTATGTCGGACACAGGACAAGAGACGAGCAGTGGAGAAATGGACATGGTCGGCAAGTCAAGTCATGGGTTGTTGCTGCAGACGCTCAGGCCGCAGCTGCACATCACCGTCACCCCCCACCTGGATGGCTGGGCTGTTGTTGCTGCCGTGGATGCGGCGTGGTTGGAACAACCCATGCCCATGTGTGACGGCTGTGGCTGGTGCGCCCAGCCCAACTTGGCTTAGCGCCATGAGCTTGACAATGCCGATCTGCCCGGCAACCAGTCCCTCATGACAAATGGATGCAAAGTTTCTGGTTCCCGGTTTCTACTTGTCTGGAAGTCGATATTGCCATGAATCAAGCGCCATCGCCATGTCCTTGGATTGGAGTGCCCCCCCCCTCCCCCTTCAGCGTGGCTATGACCAGGTCAATCGTTGCTAGCACTAAGTAGCACTGGCCTGCACATCTGCCACATCGTTATCTCGCGCACCGCCACATTTCCCAAACTCTGAGTGCGCCGCGACTATGCCTCGTCTACTAGCAAAATAGCCATGTACTAGCTGCTGGCGTCTCATGTACAAAATAGCAATGACTCGAAACCAAATCCCTTTATCGTCACTGCAAAAAGGTCTGGTTCGGAGGCGCAGCAAACGTGCTTCGCAAGGCACAGTTCCCAGTCCCAGTCCCCGTCCCAATCCTACCCCAGTGCGTGGCCGGCAACGGGAAACAAGAGTGCGGAGTTTTGGGGGGAACGTGCGAAAAAGGTCAATCTTTGGGCGACAAGTCTCACGATTCAGCCCTCCGACCAAGAGTCTCTTTCTGCAGTCTTCTATTGCACGCCTGAGAAAAAAAACGTGTCCAGCTAGTGCCCATGTGGCTTTCGGTGGAACCACGTCACTATGTTACTTACTTACTTACACTAGTAGCATATGCACATGCTTTTTTTTCTGTGCCTAGCACGCAAGCGGACGACCCGCATGCCGTTGATCGGGATTGTCTTCCCCCCCCCGCGCGCCGATACTGCATAAAGCACATGGAAGAGCAAAAAGCAGAAAAAAAAGGTGGACTAGCGAATCGGCTCTGAATTCCTCCATGGTTGATATACCCAGCGATGCACGTTGAATGCTTTGCAAGCTGATCACCCACAAACCCTAGGTGTAAGCTGTATGAAGATGTTGTCGTGTGCTTAGAAACCCATATTTTAGAAGCAGAACCGGAACATGGCTCCATCTTCTGTCGTGAGCTCTTCAACGCTGCATACGCTGTCTGTTTGAAATAATCGCCATCGCGACAACAGCCCTGCCTATCGAAAGTTACCGTTTCCGAATATCCATGGACGTCCATACCAGACATGTCTGCGTGTCGGCGGCAGTCGAGAACCTTTGAATGTGAACGCGCCATGCTGGGCCACGAAAAGACGCCTGGAGAATGCAACGGGAATCCTGCATCATGTGCCGCACAATTGGCTGCGTTCCCTGAAGAGTATACCGACAAAATTCATGCTCAAGGTTGATCTGATCACGTCGGTTTGCTTTGGACTGGCATGTCTCGAGCGGAGAATCCAAAGCTATCCAACAACACCCTGCGGCGCGACGACACGTTGGCCGAGATCTTTGACTCGAGTGAAGAACCCAGTCCTGCTCTTCGACTCTTCGTCGCACAAGATGTCCTCTACTACAATCCAAGCGTCGCCGATCTCACACCAGCACGCGCCCTCTGCATCTACCATGAAGTCGTGTTCTCACCAGACTCCACTGCCTTGTAGGAAATGAGCAATCCATGCAAGATGAGCAGTGACAGTCCCATCCAATCCCGCATCTCTACAAGTACACAACAACATGAATCTGTAGCGCCGAAATCAACCACACTCTATAACTCGACCGCAGAGTTATTCTTGCTCATTACTCGATACTGATGTACTTGCACAGCCACCCAAGTTATTAATAGTCCAGAAGAGAAAAGAAAAGGTAAGGAGAAGTAAAACAAGAAAATGGGAAAAGATGGGCATTCCAAACCCGTGTTTTAAGCTTCCAAAGCTTTTGGCATCGTTCTGATAAACGGTTCGCGCAAAAGAGCACAGTGACTGAGAGCTATTCGCGTTCGCCGCTAACCCAAAAACGCATCTGGTGCTCGCCTCGCCTAGCCACCCGAATCGGCAAATGGTGTGTGTTTTTTTTCTTGCCCTTTGAACGCGCTTGTGTTGCTTTAGCGCGTTTTATGCCAGCATTTTCGCGGCGGGCCTTTTTTTCTTACACGAACAACGTACGTGTAGAAATCCTGAAGCGACTCATAGGCAGATTCTCAGGCAAAGGGAAAAGAAAAAGGAAAGAAGGAAAGCGTGACGCTGACTCGAGGAAGAAGGTTATTGCAGTGAATGACTCACTTTCAAGAGATAACTTTTTTTTTAATACATGACTTTGAAAACAAAAGACATATGACCTTGCCCCTTTGGGTCCATGGTCCATGGAATATCATCCCAGCCCTTGGGATATCACGTAAAAAAAAGAGTAGTAGAAAGGCGCACACGCAAGTGTCTTTCTTTCCCTGTCACACTCTCTCTGCCAACCCGTTGTCCGGATAATAAAAACGCCTTCGCTGATGAATGCAAACGAATCAGAATATCTCTTTCTTTCTCTCTCTCTCTCTCTCTCTCTCTCTCTTGTTTATACCCGACCAGGTACGGCAGGCGCACCCTTGTGAGTTTCGGGCTTCGGGTCCTTGTCTGTATTCTTCATCCGCGCTAGGATGAGCGTGAGCGTCTTCTTTTCCCTGCCGTCGCTTTCCAGTACGTGGATGAGATCGCGGAGTTGGATTCCGGCACCCGTCTCCGTCTGCTCAATTCCTTCGCCGAATTTGCGCTTGCGCCCAACAAGAGCCTTCTCGGGTGCTTGAGCTGCGGGCGTTACGGTGCCACTGCCGCCGGATGCTGCCACTGGTCGCGGTGTTGATGCGCCTGATGCAGACCCGCCGCCGCCTCCGCCTCCGCCGCCCGTCATCCAGGAATACTTCTTCTTTTTGCCGCCGAGCGCCATGCTGGCTGTCTCGTTGGCTTTGCCGAATACAACGACATCTGACTGGCTCTGCTTCTTCGCAGCAGCCAATGCCTTTTTGGTAACAGGTTCTGGCAGCGGTATGGGTAGAGCGGGCACATCTGCCGACGTGGCAGAAGCACCTGCTTGCCGCTTTGCCCGCTTGCGGAGTCGTTCTTGTTCCCATTTGTAATCATCTTGAACGCGTTTAGTAAGCGCATTGGCAACGTGATTGACGTTTTGGTATGTTCGCTGAGGGGTTGGTGGTGCTTCGCTCGGTGGTGTTGGTAGACGTGCTGCATTGGGAAGACCTGCGTCTGTTAGCTATTGGGCCAAGTCTCGGAGGAACCAACCTACCCTTGCTTGCTGTCGCCGTGGGGCTGACAGCGCTGTCCGGGGCTTCCCATGGTGTTTTTAGGATATTGACGGGACGGATCATCTTCTCCTGCGCGTTCTCGTCTACCACGGCAATGTCGACCATCTGGGGCGGAACAATGCCATGAGATGTGTTCTGGCGGCCTTGACACAGGGCAAAGGAATCTTCAACGATAGTCCGTACGCGCTCTTCCGCCGCCAGCGTTAGCAGCGTTAGAATCTCCACAAGCGGAGCGTTCTGGTTGAGCAGACTGGCAGCCTCTAGGCCGATGATCTGTTCGCCGTTTGCGCCAGTCTGTGTAGTGCGTGTGATTTCTTGTTGGCCCTTGTCGGGGATCTTATCAAACAGGCCATCCACGTTGATCTGAATGCCGTGCTCATAACCGCGCTTTGCAATGCGGTGCCGCAACACGCTCGCCGACAGGAAGGGGTCATTGAGAGGCTGCTGGGCCGACTCGTTCAGAATGCGAGCGGCCTGTTCATGCTTCCTAATGAACTCGGCCTCCTGCTGCTCCTTGGTCATTTCCTGGCTGAGCGGGCCCGTCCCTTGGTATGCGCCATGGTTTGGCTGCTGGCCCCAGTTGTTGAAGCTGCCGTGCGGCGAGGCCGAAGACGCCGAGGTCTGCGAGTTGAAGCTCCTGTAGTTCTGCAGCAGGTTGTCCTCTTCGGCGCGCAGATCGATGCCTGATCCAGTAAGCACGTCGCTGATGTTGTTCACGTCCAGGTCCCGCGCATTCGCCTTCTCCAGCTCCGAGTTGTCCGTCGCCTTGCTGTACGGGACCTTTGGCGGGGGCATGGAGCTCTGTGGCGGCGGGGGCGGCGGCTGTCCATTGGGCTGCTGGTAGGGTTGCGGCTGATGGAAGGGCGGCGGGTGCATGGCGGCGGGCGACGTTGGCAGCGAGAGGTAGCCCGGGGCCTGCGGAGAATTGGCATATGGCGACGAGGGATATGCCGGCGCGCCAGGCATGCCAAACGGCGACTGGTAAGGCGCGGGCGATGGCGGGTTGGGCGACAGGCGCTGGCGCTTGTTGGGCGGAATGCCACTGCCCATGGTGGGCGACATGGCCGTGGGCGAGTGCTGGTAGCTCTGCGGGGAGAAGGCGCGCGGCGGCTGGTGTTGATTCACCGTCTGCGTCTGCACTGGCGGCGGCGGTTGCGGCTGCTGCTGTTGCGGCTGCTGGCCGTGCGGAGGATACTGGTGGTTGTAGGACATGGTGGGCAGCTCGTCCCCTATGGGGAGTTGCGCAGGCGAGAAGCGTCTATCTACGTATCATCCGGGAGGCGCAGGGCGGTGGGGCGACGGGGCTGGCGACGGGCCGTGTTCTCTCGACGGGGTCGCGGGGCGGTGGTGGTGCTCGGCGCGTCGATACCGGTGAGGTCTTGGAGCAGAGGGCGGAGGTTGACTTCTGGGAATCACCACACGCACTAACTGCGGCTTGGCACAACGCGCCCCGACAAAGCGCAGCCCGCGGAGAGCATCATCGCCTCTGCCCTCGCTCGACCTCGACACACGCACACATATATACACACCACACCACACAACAGCCTCGCCCTCATCCGCCACTCACTGCTGCGGCGCGGGACTGTCTCGCGATACGCCAACTCTCTGTCGAAACCAAGCTCGAGTGAATTGCCCCCCCTGCCGCTGCGACGCGTCCTCTGGCTACCGCATATTCCACGGGCTGTCGCAACCCCCCCAACGCCTCACCCCGGGCGTGTTGACTGAGAAACACGTGCGCCTGCCGCAGCTCTTGCCCTCATGGCTGCAAAACGAAAGGCCGCGGCCATGGCGCCCGAAGACGACGACCCCATCGACCCCTCCGACGAGCTCATGTTTCTCTGCCTCGGCGGCGGCAACGAGGTCGGGCGGTCGTGTCACATCATCCAGTACAAGGGCAAGACGGTCATGGTGCGCGCACACTCGATTCGGAGCCCCAGGCGGCCATGCTAACAAGGCGCAGCTCGATGCCGGCATGCACCCCGCCCACGAAGGCCTGTCGGCCATGCCCTTTTACGACGACTTTGATCTCAGCACCGTAGACGTGCTACTGATTTCACAGTATGTATACGCACATCTTGCTTGCCATGGTAGTTGGGGTTCGGCGCATCACGGGAGTCGGACCATGAGCGCACATTGGGCACTCGCAGTTCAGCGACTTGTATATCAGTATCAATGGAATATTATTTGCATCCTCCCCGCTCGACTTCGATGATGTGCCCTTCCCCGGTCTCCACGCCTGTATATAGCTAGCGCTCGGCCTCCTCTCTGCGAGCCTGTCCTTGCTACTGTTGGCCATCGTTCGGTAGGCTGACATCAGGCTAGTTTCCACGTCGACCATGCCGCCTCTCTGCCCTACGTCCTGGCCAAGACCAACTTCAAGGGCCGTGTCTTCATGACGCATCCCACCAAGGCCATCTACAAGTGGCTGATCCAAGACTCGGTGCGCGTGGGCAACATGTCGAGCAACTCCGAGACCAAGATTCAGATGTACACCGAGGCCGATCATCTCAACACGTACCCCATGATTGAGTCCATTGACTTTTATACCACACACACGGTCTCTGGTGTGCGGATAACACCGTATCCTGCAGGTCACGTGCTCGGAGCAGCCATGTTTCTCATGGAAATCGCTGGCTTGAAGATACTGTTTACTGGCGATTACTCGCGAGAAGATGACCGACATTTGGTTTCAGCGTCCGTACCGCCGGGCGTCAAGATTGACGTGCTCATCACCGAGTCAACATTTGGTATCTCAATGCACACTCCGCGTGTTGAGCGTGAGGCACAGCTCATGAAGGCCATCACCGATGTGCTTAACCGTGGTGGCCGAGCTCTTCTCCCTGTCTTCGCCCTAGGACGAGCACAAGAACTTTTGCTCATCTTAGACGAGTATTGGAGCAAGCATCCAGAAGTCCAGAAAATACCAATCTACTACAACTCGAGTTTAGCGCGAAAGTGTATGCAGGTTTACCAAACATACGTTTCGGCCATGAACGACAACATTAAGCGTCTATTCGCTGAGCGCATGGCAGAGGCAGAGGCGGCAGGAGATACTGGTCGCCGTGGAGCTTGGGACTTCAAGTTTGTTCGATCACTCAAGAGTCTAGAGCGCTTCGACGACCTGGGAGGGTGTGTCATGTTGGCTTCCCCCGGTATGATGCAGTCAGGCACATCGCGTGAGCTGCTCGAGCGATGGGCGCCAGATCCAAGAAACGGCGTCATCATCACAGGTTACTCGGTCGAAGGCACAATGGCGAAACAGATTGTACACGAGCCTGACCAAATTCCCGCCATCATGACACGAGCAAGCAACACAGCACGTCGACCAGGCCAACGAGAAAATGAGCAGACCATGATACCCCGACGATGTACAGTCCAAGAATTCAGTTTTGCTGCCCATGTTGATGGAAAAGAGAACATGGAGTTTGTACAGGAAGTCGCTGCGCCCGTTGTTGTAAGTCTTCACAATCTCACATTGAACGCGCGATATTCAGGATACATACTGACAGCTATGCTAGATCCTCGTACACGGAGAAAAGGGTAACATGACCCGTCTGAAGTCAAAACTGCTCTCTTTCAACGCACAGAAAACCGTCCCCACCAAGATCTACTCTCCAGCAAACTGTGAAGAACTGCGCATTCCCTTCAAAACCGACAAGATTGCCAAGGTTGTGGGGAAATTAGCTTTCATCACGCCACCAATGCCTCGTTCTTTGACGCCTGGTGGTAGTGAGGCTGAGCATGACGGGATCAAGCAAGAACAAGATGGGGACAGGGTCGATGTGATCAGCGGAGTGTTGATTCAGAACGATTTCAAAATCAGTCTGATGGCACCAGAGGATCTAAAAGAGTATGCCGGGTTGACTACTACGACTATTCTTTGCCGTCAACACATTACGCTGTCAGCAGCGGGTATTGACTTGATAAGATGGGCGCTGGAAGGCACCTTTGGCGCTATCAAGGAGACAAGGGTCACTGACGCGGCTGTGGACGGCAAGGTGAGTGGCACTGAAAACGGCCACAAAGAAGAAGAAGAAGAAGCGAATGAGGAGGTCAATCGGACAGAAGTCAAATTCACCGTCATGGACTGCGTAAACGTACTCGTCAAGAACGGCGGCAGGGTAGAAGTTGAATGGGAAGGTAACGTAATCAATGACGGAATTGCCGATGCTGTGTTAGCTGTGCTCTTCACAGTCGAGTCTTCGCCAGCAGCTGTACGGCGTAAGTATTCCCTATCCATTTTACCAGTTGTCTTGACATTGACTAACATTCGCATCAAGAATCTTCGAAGCAACACTCGCACTCGCACGTTCCACATCAAGATTCAGACGACATCTCCGCCACAAAGTTTACCCACCGTTTTAAGAGCAACCCGCACCCCCACCGCACCCCTGATCCGTCCACACGCCTTGCTCGCCTCTTCCTTTTCCTCGAGGCGCAATTCGGCGAAGAATCCGTCCGCCCCATTACGCTACCTCGCAATAGCACTACAACAGCGACCGCAAACGGAACGCCGGCCGCCACTACGGATGCCGATACACCCACTCCCGACGCTGCGGCAGCCGACAGCACGTCCGCGACAGATCCTCTTAGCGTCACTAGCAACCCTTCAGAATCCTACTCAGCGGATGATCAATTGTCCGTGGAAGACAAACAAGAGTTGAAGCGCCTGCACAACCTGGGCATACCTGTTCCGGGTGTTGAAATCAAGTTTGATAAGTTTGTGGCCAAGATTTGGCTGGAGGATCTAGATGTTGAATGTTCGAATAATGCGTTGAGAGCGCGTGTTAAGGCAGTGGTCGAGAGGGGTGTGGAGACGGTAAGTGGGCTGTGGTCGTAAATGGCGGTTACTTGCCACACATGAAGAGTATGTAAAATCTTGGAGCGGTGCTTTGTATTCCATGGCGAAGAAGCAACCGGCGTCGGCCTATTCTCTTTGCCTATGATTCTGGTCCTATCAGAAAGAGAGACGGTTTTGAATCTTGTTGGCGGCACTGGTGCTGAGTTCATGTAGTCGGAATATGGAATGATATACCAGATTGAACATGGGAGAGTGTCAATTTACTCCAAGCATACAAGCTAATGTATATTTTTATCCGTCCAGCATCAGGTATGATTACTGGATGTTGCTAACATGTGAGTTGGTGATTAAATAGGAGAGACGGACGCATCAATCTGCGCATGAAGTGCCGCGTACTGCGGACATTGAGGATGAAGAGCCCATGGTTACGGGAGCGGCGAGGAACGTATACCGAGCTTTTCGGATAAAATATCCGCTGTCTAGCTCTTCTCAACCTATTATTATTATTATTATTATTATTCTAGTTTAACGTCCTTTTTCAGCCCGAAGGGCTATATAAGACGTGTAGGGTTTTTAGGCCTACAAGTATCTAAGTAGGTTGTTTCTAGCTACGATATTTAGGAGGGGTTTTAACTAGATGAAGGTGAGGCTCGTAGCCTATTGGTTGGTAGGTAGGGGG